AGTTCACCTGCGCATGCCTAGGTTTTTGAGTTAGCAATCTTGTAGGATACTGGTCCACTTTAATCCTCTATTCTTTGTCGGGGAAATTTGTCCAGCAATGATTTAATAATCAAAAGCCTGATTGAAGGAAATTTCTCCATAAAGATTTGTCACCATGATTGCGAATCAAGATAATCAAGATCCTCACCATACCATGGTTCCCGAGAAAAAGGAGAAGCAAAGAAAGAAAAGAGAAGGATATGTTCTGAGCAAGAAAGCTATATAAATTAAATGACTTGTTGTCCTCGGAATAAGCACGTCCTGCAGAGTTTAGGGAAGATCACAGTATATTTAGCTGGCTAATGTCAATCTCTGTGTTCCATTTTGCTTCTCCTGTCGTATTAAACTGATAGTCATAGTTGTCCGACACTTCAACAAATATTTTACTGGCAAACCTGCCAAAATGAAGCCACAATCTCTCAGCCCGAATCTTAAAACTTGTGCTAAGTTCGTCACGTAAGCCATTGAAATGCTTTCAGGGACAAAAGATAACTTCGTCAGGTCCCCAAGATCTCCGACATCTAACGTCAAAGAAACAAAAGCAAAAAGGAAAGAAAAGACAAATGAATAAGCATAAGTCTCCTTGACAGATATGGTCAAATTTGATTCATGTGGGATGATAATCGAGAGTCCATTCTTGGAGGAGGGCAGGAGATAAGATGAGCCCAGAGATCACATAAATAAACTCATATGAACAGAAAAGCTAGAATTTATTGTTTTTTTCACTTTTTGCAGCATATGAAGAGAACAGATCCTGTTATTATCGAGGCAGTGTGGCTCCCTTGGCCGTCATTTTCTCGAGCCGACCTGGAGAAAGTGATATTCAGCAATTCTAGAGGGCCAACCTCTGCTTCAAAACCCTTGGAGTAAAATCTCTCACCTATGATTGTTCTGGAAAGTCAAATTCAAGGACATTAATAAAGAAGCTCCTAGAGGCTTTAACTATCTCTTAATTTAGGCCTAGCAAAGAGAAGAATCTGTTAATTTAGAAACCGGGATGACTGTTTGATTGCTTATTTTGTTGTCATGGCACAATGCACACCTTACTAATGATGTTAGATTAGTTCCTTTTTCATGTTATCACACATCTTAGTCGCTACATCTTGCAGTTGGACAATGTGGAATTATCTCTAGGAAAGCATTGCCCCTTGAACTATTTAGGCACAAGACCTAAGCCTTTGTCGCTAAAGCTTTCTGATCGTGGCCAAACCCCTGCAAAGAGGAGTCATGTATGAGTTTCTATTTGTTGCAATGATGAAAAGCCAAAGGCAAAGGTTATAGGATAACCAGAGTCAACGGCACCAACAATGTTAGATCTGGCATCTGTTCCCTGTTGGTAAAATTGGTTAAGCAAGTTTACCCCGAGAAACTCCCATGAATGTGTTGTGCGGACTTCATTGACTTTGCTCTGGAACACGGAAATGTCAGAGTCCATCTCTGTAACACAAGTTCAGAAGAAATATTCACTCCAGTGACACCTAATGACGTTCAATTGGCTTACTTTTGGTCACTTTTATTCCGTGCCAAAGTCGTGCCATTATTAGAATTCGAGGGTAGAAACCAAAATATGGAAACATGAATATATGCAAGTAAATATTGGACGTGCATTTTCTTACCAGAAATTTTTTTGGCTTGTTCTGCTGTAAGCATGGCTTAGAAGCCTCTAAAGCTTTTGCTGTAGTGGTGAAGCACCACCTCCAGCGCTTCATCAAGACTGGGATTAGATATAGAGAAGCCGTAGGACAAGTGTTAGTAGTAATGACATTTATCGTACAAACATTTGACTTCTTAATTTCATAGATTGAACTTATAAGATCATGACTTTCCAAAGTGTGCATTGATCGCAAACCTTCCAGAGACATGCAAGTAACTCATGGTTGCCTGTGATCCCATATTCTGGATCAGGATGGGAGTGGCTCCCCATGTAAACTATGCAATGCTGCAAATTCAGAGAACAATTGAAATGTCCTAATGCTTGAACGACTAGTGTTTTTAGGCAACTCTTGGTCTCTGCTACATGCATTGAGATTATTATATATTTTCATGCTATCACACCATGGTCTGCTCCAAGGGGGCATCAATTCATAACAATACAGTTTTCTTTCTCATCCAGAAAGGATTTGGTAGAGACATAGTTCAATCAAGACAACAACGAATTCATTCACTAGACCTGGTTATGAGAGTAGATTGATCATAGTGCATTACCGATGCAACTTAGGGACTTAGGGAGTTAACTGAAACGAGGTTGTCGATCTTAGTGGTCAATTCCCAAATTCTGAAGGAAACCGCACGGTTTGATTAATTGGCCCAACTTATAATATTTCATAAAAAGGTTCAAATGCAGATACAATGTACAAGACCTCAAACACAGATGACAGAGATGTGTTGTGTGGAATCTGTTCATCTTGCTCTCAAACACAGAGATGACGGAATCCATCTCTGAAACACAAGTTTAAAAGAAATATTAAGCCCAACTACACCTAATGAGCATCGGTCAGCTTACTTTTGACAATTTATATAATGTGCCTAAACCGTGCAATTGTTATCAATTTGAGGTAGAAAACAAATATGTGAACTTGAACATATGCATATGGATAATTGGACATGCATTTTATTACCGAAAAGTTGTTGGGCTTGTTCTGCTGTAAGCATGGCTGAGAAGCCTCTAAAGCTTTTGCTGTGGTGGTGAATATCTGCATCCCGTGCTTCGTCAAGACTGACATATATAGCAGAACAAGGAATAGGATAGATGTGGCATCGACAACCATATAGTAAAGACATTATTGTACAAATATAACTTATGAAAACTTACTTTCATAGTTTGAATGTTTATGATCAAGACTCTCCAAAGAGCAAAGTGTGTATCCATTTGCATACCTTGGCGACACTGATGCAAGGAACTCGTGGTTGGCTGTGATCACAGAATCTAAATCAGGATAGGAGTGCTTCCCCATGTAAACTATGCAATGCTGCAAATTATAAAGGACAATGAGAAAGGATAGAAAGAATATGATGGGCTTTGATAAGTTTGATTAAGAGCACGGTTCTCAGTTTAATCCTACCTTCGCCCATACTTGCCAAGGGAAAAGAAAACAATGAAATTAGTCATTAGACCAGGTTATGAGAATCGTAATTCATCGCTGATGCAGTTTAATGAGTAACTAGTGTGAGGTTGTCATTCTTTGGTAATTTTCTAAAGTCAAAAGGGAAATAGTAGTGTTGCGATAAATGAAAACTCCAATTTTTGCACACCCAAAAATATTTTTACTCTTTCAAGTAGTGGACATTACCAACAGCACGGTTCGATTATTCAACCCAACAGTCTTTGTAACAATGAACTTAGATGTACAAGACCAATTTCTCTCTCTCTCTCTCTCTCTCTCTCTCTCTCTCTCTCTCTCTCTCTCTGTAACAATGAACTTAGATGTACAAGACCAATTTCTCTCTCTCTCTCTCTCTCTCTCTCTCTCTCTCTCTCTCTCGCAAACAAAATGCTTACCTTGGCACTGGAGGTGGCTGAGTGCGCCAAAGCAAGTCTGACTAAGAAGAGGAGAGAGATAAATGTGGCAAGTTTCATGGAAAGCTACTATACCATGGATTGGAAAAGGTGGAAATTGGATGATACTCACCAGTGCAAATGACATGCTGTTTCTTACAGCCCAAAAAGCTGCACGAAATGGATATAAAAATAATAAAAGCCGGCTTGACGTCGACTTTCCTTAACAACTTATCATGTGGACTGATGTGCAAAAGATAGTCTTTGTGTTTGTTTAAAACGTGTTCATCAGGGTCTTTAAGGAATCTCTTTTGCCGGCTCATCAGGAGTACTTTAGAACCATGCTCCTCATTACTTTTATTGTACTGCAGGGTGCATTGTCTACATGGAATAGTTGGAAAGACAGTTTCATCTTCCAGTAACTGGATTGAAGGTTTCAAAGCTAGATGACATATTCGAATCCTCAAGAGGGGAAAAAAAGTGAAGTATGATCAGTTCTTTCCTTGGTCGATCAGTTCAAATGAGCCAAAACCGTGCATAACAGATGGTGAAATTCTACATCCATGGGTTTTCTCTTTTCATATGGACCCATTTCAATGACGTTCTTGATCCTCTTTTTGGGTACGGATCTTGAAATTCTTCCAATGGGTTCGAGAGTGTGTTGAGGGGAAAAGAGACGTTAAAAAAAAGGAGAACATGGCAAAAACGAAATAAATCAAACTAAGTGAAAATATGGTGTATAGATGTTTAAATCCGCATAAGTACATTCTCCAAACCTGAAGGTAGAGATAAATTTATTTATTTTTTCTTCGATACAGGGATTAAGTTCTTCCTTGTCACATTAGTATGATATTCAATGATCCTCACCTCACATTTTCCCAAAAGCCAAGATTGGATATATCTCGATTATATATACTTTTCTATTAGAGTTCCAGAATTTAATATTTATTTAAAGCAAATGACATCTGCTATTTGTTGATCCATTTTCATGTTTGGCCTTTTAATGGATGACGACAAGCAACATGTAAATACAGAAGAACAACAGCTTGTCTCAAAACAATCTTGTGTAAGATGGAGGAGAGGAGACTCAATTGATTAGAAAGAAAAAAGAAATGGGAGAGGAGTTTTTGGATAGATGTCTTCCAAATGGGTATTGTAGTCGATTAAATTCAGAAGGCGTGAATTAAGCTATTAAAGGTGTGGAATTAGCGCCACCCGTTTATACGTTGTCAAGTTTATCTATTGGAAAACAAGTGTAGTGTATCAGTTCCTTCTTATGCTGATCTGTTCAAAGAACTGTGCGTAATGGGCGATGGAAAAACAAGTAGTGAGGCTTCATTTACACATAACAATTTTATGTTTGACAATTATAAAATTGTTGAGTGATTTTCTTCATATGGGAAAACACAATAATTGGTAAACTACGGACTTAATCAATCATCTTTCTTAGAAATTGACAGGGTCGTAAGTGAAAAACTCATAATTATGAGTTTAACATTTTGAGCAATATCAGATACAGTACCAACGTGGATTTTAAATCAGATAGCTAGTTGATACTTGATTACAATACAAAGGAGTGATAATTCTACATAGAAATCACATTAAGACCAATAGGACTCCTCACAATGTGAATACCGTTGCTCCATGTCAGTGATCCGAACACAAAGCTCCCATTACTGCTTTTATAAGGACTGAAATCAATCCTGAAGGACATTTTTTGCCCTGCCTGAGTAAACCTGAGCTGAGCAGGATACACTGCAACTCTAACTCCCTGCGGATAGTTTATGACCGCAGTATAAACTGTTGGGCCTTGTCCGTAATAAGTGACGGTCCGGTGAACAGATGTGCTCCCTTTCATGTTGGATACCCCAATTGAAGGGTAATTGAAGTCATAGGACGATGTCAGTGGGTTCTTGCAGGAAATTAGATCTCCTGTTAGGTTCTTGAGTTGTGCAGGGCTTGCCCCAATGCTGCATAGGAAATTTATAACGTCGTCAGAATTGAAATCGTAGATAAGTCCTGGGTTCAATGCGGCAACGGGGTTTATGTGTCCGGATCCATAGTCAAAAGGCAACGCCTGTGTGCCGTTTGGATGCCGTCTGATTGGGTTTCGGCTATTGTCCATGACAGTAGCTGAAATTGCATAATGTTTATTGAAGTAAGACGAGGTTTAGCAAAGAAAAATTTTGTGAGAACACATTGAAGTATCTAATAGAATTTTTCAGGGAAGCATACTAACCTGTGGTCATAATGGCAGACTTGATAGCAGCTGGACTCCAAGAAGGATAGTAAGATTTCAGAATCGCAGCAACCGCGGCCGTATGGGGGCAAGACATAGAGGTCCCTGATAGTATATTGTAGTTGACAGGGCGACCCGACGTGCTTTCAGTCGCCAACGGAGACCAGGCAGCCAAAATCTTCGCACCAGGTGCTGTAATATCCGGCTGCATTTAATATTCAACAAACTTGAACAAGCATTGAAAGCTACAAATCATCTTTGTAATCAATGATTTTCCAAAGACATGAATTAAGTGTAAATGGACTATACTTTGATAATATCAGGAGTTATGATGTTTGGTCCCATGGAAGAAAACATCGTCATTGCTGGTGCTGGCTCTGTGTTGAAGGCAGTCACTGTTGGTGCAATGTTAGCTGTTGGATACCTGTTATTTCAGTTCAATCCAGGCATTAGCTACTCTCACTCTTGTATGAATTTCTTCCTAATGTGAGTAGTTAGATCTGCTTCTTGTGCCTTACTTTTCTATTGCCATGTAGGATTGAAGCTCTTTGGCTTCTGCCTGACCAATTACAGCACCTGGGATTGCAAATTGAAAACCAACATCTTGCCCAACTGGGTCGACAAGGATGATTCCCACACCGCCGGCATCTCTCACAGAAAAGGCCTTCTCTCTACGATCATCACGAAGCAACACCTCAACCATGCACAGGACAATCCTTCCCTTCACTAAGGTAGGATCCAAAGTGTTGTTCTTGCAGAAGCTGTAAACCAGGATTGTTGCGTCACCAGGATAGTTTCATGATTGTAGCAAATGGTCTTTCATTGAACCGAGACACCGACCCAGATCATCCAAGACCATCATGCGGATGGAAATTGGAATGCTTCATTTCTTTGCCGAGGAAATGGAAATAAGATACCGTAGGTTAAATACAAAGATTAACCTGGCATTTTTGGCTGGAACTCCTTTAGCAGCTGCTTCACTCCCGGCTATTAGCCCATACGAAGCTTCCATCTTGAGAGGATTCAAAGAATAGCCCTGTTAGAAGAAACTCCTTTAGTACAATATGCATCTTTGCCGCAATGGTTCTCTCATATCCATCTACAATCTGTAGTTATTTCATACAGCTCTCACTCCATTACCTTCAAAACTTTTGAGTTTCCGAGATATATATTCGAACTAAATTGTCTATCAATGGAACTAGCGGCTACAGTAAGTATCCAAGGAGCCACATTAACAGCAGTCCCTGGGAAAAATGCGTTTCCTGCAGATGCCAAGATGACAATCCCTCTCCTAAATGCATGGAATGCTCCTATCGAGATGGAATTCTCGAAATAGATTGGTTGGGGAGGGGTCGGACCCAGTGAGAGAGATAGCATGTCAACACCGTCGTCTATCGCATCATCCATTGCGGCAAGGATATCTGCATCATTGCATTGACCAAACCAACAGGCCTTGTAAATGGCTAGTCTTGCACCTGGGGCCCCTCCCCGAGCAGTGCCTTGGGCTATCCCGAATAAGCTGGCATTTGGAACCACAGATCCCGCAATCGTCGATGCGGTGTGGCTCCCGTGGCCATCGGCATCTCGGGCTGACCTGAAGAAGGGTAAGTTGAAAGATTCTAGAGGGCCATTTTCTGCTTCAAACCCTTTGAAGTAGAACCGGGCACCTACGATCTTTCTGCAAATTCCATTGCAATTATGTTAATGAAGAAGCTCCTTGGCTGGAACTCTTAAGTTATACAACGGACCAACTGTTTTATTACTTCTTTTTTTGTCATAGCATGTCTTAGTTGCTAATAGTACCTGTTGCAGTAGGACAATGTGAAATTTTCTCCAAGGATGCATTGTCCCTTGAACTTTTCAGGAACAAGACCTAAGCCTTTATCCCTAAAGCTCTCTGATTCAGGCCAAATCCCTGCAAAGAATATCAACTGAACCTCTGTTTTCACACTGACAAAAAACTAGAGGAAAAGGCTAAAGCTTTAGAGCATTACCAGAGTCAATGACACCAACGATAACATCAGAACTAGCTTCTGTTCCCTGTTGATTATACTGGTAAAGCGAGTTTACCCCTAGAAAATCCCATGAATGTGTTGTGTGGACTTTGTTCATCTGGCTCTCAAACACAGAGATGACAGAATCCATCTCTGTAACACAACTCAAAAAGAAATATTAAGCCCAACTACTCCTAATGCACAACAGTTAGCTTACTTTGGACAATTTATATAATGTGCCCGAATCATGCAATTGTTATCAATTTGAGGTAGAAACCAAAATATGTGAACTTGAACAGATGCATATGGATAGTTGGACATGCATTTTATTACCGGAAAGTTGTTGGGCTTGTTCTGCTGTAAGCATGGCTGAGAAGCCTCTAAAGCTTTTGCTGTAGTGGTGAATTGCCGCCTCCCGTGCTTCATCAAGACTGACATATATAGCAGAACAAGGAATAGGATAAATGCCGCAATTGACAACCATATAGAAAGAGAATTCTTGCACAAATATAACTTGTGAGAATTTAATTAACTTTCACAGGTTAAATGTATATGATCAAGACTCTCCGAAGTGCAAAGTGTGTATCCATCTACATACCTTGCCGACACTGATGCAAGTAACTTGTGGTTGGCTGTGATCACAGATTCTGGATCAGGATAGGAGTGCCTCCCCATGTAAACTATGTAATGCTGCAAAGTTTAAAAACAATGAGAAAAGACAGGAAGAACATGATGAGCTTTGCTAAGTTTGATGAAGAGGACAATTCTAAACTTTATCCCACCTTCACCCATACGAGCCGAGCACAAAGAAAACAATGAAATTAGTCACTAGACCAGGTTAGGAGAATCGTAGTTCATCATTGAAGCGGTTTAACGAGTGACTGAAGTGAGGTTGTCATTCTTAGCGGTTAATGTCTAAAGTCGAAAGGAAAGAGTAGTGTTGTGATAAATGAAAACTCCAATTTTTGCACCCCCTCAAAAAAACAATTACTGATGCATTTAGTGGACAATACGAACAGCACGGTTCGATTATTCAACCCGACACATAATCTTTCATAACTATGAATTTAGATGTACAAGACAAATCTCTCTCTCTCTCTCTCTCTCTCTCTCTCTCTCTCTCTCTCTCAAAAACGAAATGTATACCTTGGCATTTGTGGTGGCTGAGTGCACCAAAGCTAGTCCGACTAAGAAGAGGAGAGAGATAAATGTAGCAAGTCTCATGATAATCAGGTAAAGCTACAATACGATGGATTGAAAAAGTGTGAAATCGGAGGATGCTCACCGGTGCAAATGACATGCTGCTTCTTATAGCCCGAGAAGCTACCTGAAATGTGTATAATAATAAGCAACGCCGGCTAGACATTGACTTTCCTTGACATCTTACCATGTGGACTGATGTGCAAAAGATAGATTTCTGTGTGATAAAAAGTGTTCGTCAGATTCTTGAAGGAATTTCTTTTGCCGGTTCATCTGTAGTGCTTTGGAACCATGCTCCCCATTAGTTTGGACTGTACTGTTGGGTGCATTGTCTACAACTGGGTTGAAGGTGTCAAAGCCGGAGGACATATTCGAATCCTCAAGGGGGATAGAAACTGAAGCTACATTTGTCCAAGAAAGAAATGTAGAGATCCTGTCAAGTTTATGCATTAGAAAAAAGTTGAGGTTTGATAGGTTCTTTCCTTTGTAGATCGGTTCAAATGAGCCAAAAACGAGCATGACATATGATGTAATTCTCTATCTATGGGTTTCCTCTGTTCATATGGACTCATTTCAGTGGTATTCTTTTTTCCTCTTTATAGGTTAAATGCAAGAGCGTGTTGAGGGGAAAGAGACTTTAAACAAAAGCAGAACATGGCGAACAAATCAATCAAATTGTTTAAGTGAAAATATGGCGGATATATGTTTAAATCCGCATAAGTACATTCCCTAGACTCGACGGCAGAGGTAAAATTTTATGTTTTTCTCTTGAAACAGCAATAGAATTCTTTCTTGTCACATTAGTATGATATTCGATGATCCTTGCCTCACCTTTTCCCAAAAGCCACGATTGTATACATCTCAATTATATATACATCATTGGAATTTTAGAATTTGAAATATTTAATTAAGCTCCATTTGTTTCGCGGAAAATTATTTCCAGAAAAACATTTTCTTCATTTTCCAAAGTTTGGATCACTGAGGAAAAATAAATCAACGAAAAACCTATACGAACATGCAACGACATTCATTCATCAGTGGATGTTTTTGTTCCCTATTTCAATCGCTTCCGTAGATCCTTTCTTGCTGTATTCTTAGAATTGCCGTTCTGGAACCATAGTAAACTCACATTTACCCTCCTGTGCATAATAAGAATAACACATGCTATCCAGAAAAGAGACTTAAACATCCCCGACTATTGAGTCTTTGTACAAGAAATTTCTAGCCGACGAACATAGCAATTGTAGCTTCTTCGTTCTTGCAACTCTGAATTATTTTGCTGAAAAAAACATCTGCATTTAGCCTTCCACATAACCTTGGCTTATATGGGGCTTTGTCCAATGGACAGCCAACATCATCGTGGCGTCAGACCATGAATCTTAATCTCATTTCTATACAAATGGAAATTTCAATGAAGAGAGTAAGCTTAACATGACTGATGTCTCAACTTCAGGTAAAGACTAAATAGAATTGAATCTACTTACAAGAGCATCACATCATTCTCATAGTCTAACTTATTTTCTCATGATTGATTCTAACAATTGATGGGACGTTGGCCCAAAAAAGAAATTTGATGGCATGGGACAACTCAGAAGTCAGTGAACATTATCCCTGATGTCTTTCAAATCTTCCTTGTGGACAAAACAAGAAAAATGACTGGCCAACGTGACAAGGCGCATAGCTAAAAATACTACCTGCATTAGCTAAAAAAAATACTGCCATAGGAACAAAGAGAGCGCATAAAAAACATCAGGGATTCCTAATACTGTCCTGCATTGAAGCACTAGTTCTAGGCATCTGCCAGATTTACTTGGCAAGTCTGCACAAGTTCTTAAAAAGAAACAGAGGTGAGACCGAGCTTGAAGTAGACCAAAAGCAATCCAAGAGGAGCACGTGGTTTAGTTGTTCTACGGCCTACCTGAACATATCACTCACAGAAATTCTCATTGAACAATTAGCATTTATCAACTGCACAACAAGAGTTTCGAGAGCACTTGCCATTTTGCACCAACCAGATATGTAAACAAGGTCATATGATTTGCCTTGTAAAGGCTAATACCTCAACCAAAGGATATATTATTTTACGCAAAGCTAGTCGACTGCTATGGAGCAACCGTACATACCTTTCCAGGGATGCCTTATCCTCAAAAAACCGAATGTGATGGATATCAAATGTTATATGCCCCTAACAAATTGCACCCACCAAAATAGGCAGCATCGCTTCTATTTCCAATGGTTAAAAAAAATAACAACTACGCGACCAAATCACTGACCGCTTTATACCCAATCAATTGGTCCCTGAAAGCCACTCAACAGGACAGGATATTCTTTTAGTTTGATTGGATACAACCGACTAACAAAGTAACCAGCATACGGGAGAAAACAAATATAGACACGTCATGCTTGATATTCCGAGCACTTCTCAAAACAATTTTTTATACAGGTTGCAACAAGCAAATTAAGAAGAGTGTCCATCCCCAGATATTTTATGCTCAAAAGGGAAATCATCTTCCTAACCGAAAGAAGCTAGGGATATAATTCATCGTGTCAGCAGCAATAAACAAACTTAAAATACAAATAGGCGATCAGGCTCACATCTAGTATGAATTGGCACCTATCAACCTTCCTCACCAAACTCCTTTGTGAATCTCTCATGAACTTCTAGATCAGATTTGCTCACTGTCGGCCTCTGTCTTGCAAGCACTTTGTCAAAATCTGTCTTCGAAATCGGGGGCGGAAGGATCTGTATGAAATTATATCAACAAACTTTTAGCATATAGCAAGTACTAAAATAAGATAATAGTGTGATTGTGCAACTAACTTAATCCTGTTATAAATCCATGCGAGTTATTTTAGTATATTTAAGGCCACAAAAGCATTACCAAGTTGCCAACTAAGGAAACATATAGCTAGTTTGTAAATGACAATGAACCGTGAAAAAAATGAAAGATGGGTTAAGAAGAAAATTCATTATCTTATTTATCTCTCTTTTTCCGGAAAAATTAACTGAAAATCAGAAAAAGAGAAAATCTTTCCAAAGACTCGTTTTATTTTTTCACCTTTTTTCAGAAAAACTGCGAAGAAGAAAATGAAAACAAATTTATCACCTTGACTTTTAATTTCCTCCATCAAGTGGTTAGACACACGATAATCATGGAAGACAATTTTATCCAGACAATTCTTACAGCTAACTTTCAAAAGACTATTGGCTTCCACTCCTATTTGCCCATTTACAAGTCAAAATGGGCAAAAGTATCTCCAGATTTACGATTATGACTTAAGATTTCAACAGCTGTGCTTGCATTTGGCGGGGAAAGCTTGACGTTAAAAGCGTTTTCGATGATAAGTGGACATTCATTGGCAATGTTCCCCTTTGAACTAATGGTTGTATCATATGAATCAAAAATAGGCCAACCAAATAGTAAGTGATAGTGAATAAGACTCCCCAGTTACTGAACCCATCAAGAACCTCTTCCCCGAGAAAAACAAATTAACAGAGATTTTACAGAACAAAAAAAAAACAACACAAAAGAAGGATCAGGATCAAGATGCAAGTGCCAACTTTGACACTAGACGTAACACAGAATTGCTCTATACCTGTGAACCTTGTCCTTGTGCTGCCAGCTCCTGCATGGTGATTTGGACAGCACCAGGTTGCTTTGGTCCACATGGCATCCACATGCCATTGGAAGTCTTTATGAAATACATGGCATCCTGGGTCTTGCGCACCGGTTCAAAAAGGACATCCTTAACCTGTCATATAGATTACAGCACATGGGAGCATAATTAAGGCATGCTGCACAATATGACTGCTGAAATGAAAAACATGGCAGCAACAGAAAAGATCACACAGACGTCTTGTACTCACACAAACAGCTATATCCGAACCAGAAAACCCCTCTGTCCTGCGAGCTAAGCTTTCGAAATCACTTTCAGATAAATTGTGGGGAGTATCCCCTAAATGAACCTATCCATATTTCAAACCATAGAAAAAGGATTAGGCTTCTGGCAACATGAAGGGCCAATGAAATATATAATCATGTTACAGCCCAAATGATCTCTGACTATGATCTTATCAGTTTCTTCTAGTTTCAGTACCTTAAACATGTGTTGTCGAGCCTTCGTATCAGGAAGAGGAATGTATATGCGCTTGTCAAAACGCCGACGAATGGCCTAAAGGTTAAAATCCATGAGCCATAGCTGTCAAATATTCCAATTAATGAAAAGCACTATAAAGAAAGCTTTTGACCTGATCGAGAGCATATGGAGTATTTGTTGCTGCAAGAACAAGAACTTTCTCATCATTATGTCCTACACCCTGAACCGTAAGAAAATCAATCCATATAATTACGGTCATATCTCTGGCGAAAAAATCCTCTGCTGAAATAAGAAAAATAACCATAAAGAAAACAAATGACTTGTTCAGTCATATTCAATCTACATATTAACACTTTCTGTTCTTACCTGCGTTACCAAGTAATTTGATTGTTTCTAGAGCGATTTATCATTCCAAGAGACACAAATAAAAAATACAAGAAAGATATAATGGAATCCTCACTAATAGTACCAATAGAAACTCACAATTACCCATTAACAAATTCGGCAAAATAAACAGGCACAGATAATATTTAAAGATATTAAGGCACAGAAAGTGTTACAGCCCAGATTCTGACAAAACATAATTGAAATTAAATAGTAGGTTAATCACCTACAGATCCAACAAAATGACCGATTCCAAGCCAGAGTGGTCTGGATTCTTAATCGACTGTAGATAACACAACTGCATATTAAGAAGCAACGCTCGCAAACTGTACATTCTACTTTGGTCATTTGCATTAGATTTAATTGATGATAGCTTAATCACAGCATCAAGAGACATAAGACTAATCTCAGAGCCTTGTTGGCTAATCCCATGTCTATAATACAAACATCGGGGCACATAACAAAGACATTTGTACATATCCGCAGAGCAGCCTCACTGGAGCAGCATAAGATTATGTTCTGACATACCTAAATTGAAAAGAGATTGCAGAGCTCCATTTGAATATAGCAATAATCAGTTCATATGTAATAGTGCATGACCAGTTCAGGTGGATTCACAATGAATTAGAATAGTAGACAGCATTCTATTCTTTAGAGGATAGAAATACACTACTAATCAAATTCTATAGGCAACTAAACCTCGAAGAAATCTGGAAAGTAAAATACATGATGACAACAAAGAGCAGACAACACCATGAAATTTGAGCAACTATGGTTAACAATATCACATAGCCATAGTATCATCATTTTTTTCTAGGGGGCATATAATCCAATACCTACAATCATTTTGGAGCTCCAAAAAGATTAAGACTTAATACGTGAAAAAAGCCACTCTTCTCTGAGCAGCATGTCCCCCTATGTTTACCCCTTTGTACAGTTCCCCCATTCCTATTTGACTCTTCACTTGGTTCTCTTTTCTATTCCCTATCCCATGTTATTCCTCCTTTGAGCTTTTTTAAACTCAATTATTTAAGAATTGGCCAAATAAAAGATAACTTTAGTTCTCTTTCAATCACCTGTTGATTTGATATAGAAGAAGGAAAAGTCGCTTTTTTACCTAGTCTAAAATGCTAGAGGGGTATTTCATGTGGCCAGGGCTTACCTACCTAGATAGACCTTCTCATCACTGTAAACATTTTTCTTTTGTATCAGTATCACTGTATAACATAGAAGAAGGCCAAGTAGAACTGAATGCAAATGATTAAAAGAGACTTCCTAAAGATATCTTGAAGTTCATCATTGACTAACTCAATCTCCATGAATTGATTTCCATAATTGTCCAAAGTTCCAGATGCTTCACAGGCTTCTAAACTAGTTCATCTATGAAAGCAAGAAGAAGTGAATACTTTTCATTAAATATTCAAAAGATAGCTTCCATTTTCTATTCTCTCCAATTGAATATTCCACCTATCTGAGACAAAGGGTACATCCACACATCAATCTAAAAAAGTGAGGAAGCATTCAAAAATACCCAAAAATGCAACATAATGAGGCAAGACAACAAGGACACTTTAGGATTTCAATAAACATAAGAAAGAGTGTTACACTTTCAGCCAAATTATTGTTACCTGCATTTGGACGAGAAGTTCGGTTTTGATACGTCTAGAAGCTTCACTCTCATTGCCTTCCCCACGTTGACCACATAAAGAATCAATCTCATCAATGAAGATGATGGATGGAGCACTTTCACGAGCCATTTGGAAAAGACTGGAAACTAATTTCTCACTTTCACCCATCCACTTTGATACAAGGTCCGAGGAAGAAACACTGTTCATAATAGAAGACAACATAAGTATCTAGAAGAACGACAGCAAAGCAGCGAAAAAGTAAAGTACAACGGAAGTGCATTTAAAAGGTATGCTCCAAAACCAAATCGCTATATTTAACTAAAGTATCTTTCGTTTATTCACCATCAGTAAATTAAAGAAGGGGAAGCTCAACTTGTCATGGCCTGTAGCCTGCCAAGGGTCTTTAATAGAAAAATTTTAAAAATATAATACTACTTTAGGAAATTAAAGAGATTAGCAAGCAGGTAAAAACAGAGAGCTTGAAGTCGAGAGAATCACTGGAAAATGATTTGAAAAATCACAAAAGACATGCATCAAAATCACAGTTACAAAGTTCAAAATTTTCAATCCGTGAGGCAATTGCAACATTTCGAAAGGATCTAGATTTCTGTCAACCAAGAGTGCACTTGACAAATGCTTGGTGAATATAGATCACCTGAAAAATGTAGAGTCTGCTTCGGTCGCAACAGCTTTCGCCAAATATGACTTTCCTGTTCCAGGTGGACCATACAAAAGAAACGCCCTCCACGGACGACGCTTGCCTGACATAGGTATCACAGAACGGAACATGTGGTCAACACATGGTAATGAATCATATGCAAACTAATTTTATAAAAACCACCCCTTGGTTTATATGCAGGATAGACCAAGCAGGTCTCCTAAAAGTACACATTATTTTGCACATGAAAAAACATTCAGACAAGCATTATTCCCCGTAAACCATTATCGCAAAGCTTCAATTAAAGAACATCGAATGCAGAATTCGGTGGCCACTGATCATAACGGAGAGGAATAGTAATGCTCACGGATGAATCACGACAGACATTGTGTATGGATCTATTCTTCACATGATATCGTTGCTATATTCAACTTACCACTCAGTTGACTTGAAGATAACTAGAGATTACAGGTGTCATCAATGAGTCAGAACAGGGCTTCTCCACATCATAGATGAACTACTGGTCAGATTCTGTCAGATGGAAGAAAATTCAATTTGAAAAGTATTCTCTGTAGTGAAATGGCTTCTCGCTTACCTCTCTCAAGCAAAACCCATGAGTGCACATGTCTAGGTGTAATTGAGTCAAGTCGAGCAGTTACAATGCAAGGCTCGAGCTCAACTCAACTCGATGCTCGAAACTCGACTCGAGCTCGATCGAGTTATAAAAAATTCTCGACACACTCGAGCTCAACTCGTCTAAGCTTGATGCAAGGGTCAAAGCTCAACTCGAATCTGAGCATTAATATTGAGCTCACCAATATCTTACGTAAAATCGGATATGCTTCAGATGTTTCAAATTAACAATAATGCTTTCAAATTACACAGATTAAAGAACAGAATCCAGCTAATTATGTCAAAATGTCAAAGCATTCTTTTCAATTCTTAAAACTCTTAGGCTGGCAAGTAATCGAGTATAGTTTCAATGAGCTCGAGCTCAGCTCGAAAAGCTACTCAAGTAGCTCGAGCTCGAGCTCTTGCTCTTGTCGAGTCGTATACGAGTAGATTGCAAGTCCATCCCGAGTAGCTCACAAGTAGCTTAACTCACTTACACCCCTACACGTGTGCCATCTAAGAGAGACATGGAAACCCACATGCAGATGAGGGTAGGCACACATGCTCACCAGCTGATCGTCCCCCGTCCTACTAAACCAGCCAGCAAGCAATTAATCGAGTCTTGAGCATGTCCCCCCTACAAACATGATCCTAAACATATAACTTTCTTCCACATCATCAAACACGGATATGTACTTTATACATCATTCATAAACTTTACCATCAGCGGCATCTTGCTCACGGTTACCAAACCACTCTTACCATCGACCAATATAAATCATAGCACTAACATACAATTGTCGGGAAAAAGGTACCCTTTGGCCTTTGCTACCATATTAACAGTGCCTAAAGGACCATAAAGCTCTTTACTTTATGGTCAAACCCAAATTTCCTTTGACATAAAGAATAGCAGCTACGGTTAGTTATCTCGGTCCCAATAATCACGCATAACGACCATAAAACCCATTCATCATCGTCACCACACAGAGAGCAGCTCATCTTTCACACCAGAAACCGACTTATCGCTGCCAAATTCGACGAACACCCATTCACAAGATAACAAACATCAGAATAAATCACCAAATTACTTCGAGAAAATAGAGCATCAACCCACCAGTGAAGAATTGAGGGAATTTAACCGGTAATATAACCGCCTCCTGCAAGGCCTGCTTGGCGCTCTCGAGCCCCGCCACGTCGTTCCACTTCACGTTGGGCTTCTCCCGTATGATGGCCGAGTTCAGCCCGGCCCTCAGCTTCTCCTTCTCCGCGTCGTCCCCGTCCCCGCCGCTCCCGTCCTTGGGCTTCGTCTTGGGGCGGGTGGCGACGGCGGCGTCCCCGTTGGAGGCGGGGCCGGGGCCGCCCTCGTCGAGCACGGCGCGGATCTCCTCGGCGCGGCGGAGGTACTCGGTGAACTTCTGGGTGATGGCCTCCCTGATCTTGGGGTTCTTCTCGTACTTGAGGTGGGTCTTGAAGTACTCGAGGGCGTTCATGTAGAGCGGGAAGGCCCTGGCGTAGTTCCCGGCATTGTCCTCGTGGACCGCCTGCTTCACGTACTCGATCGCCTGCTCCTTGAAGTTGCTGTACATCGCGATAGGAAATCGGGGCCTCCTACTACCACCACCTCGCGGAGGATCGCATGTAGGAATCACCCCGGAACCCTAGAAATCCGAGGGCGGGCGGGCGGGGGAGGGGGTCCGATCGGGAGCTGCGACCGAACCGGATCGCACCGAACCGCACCGGCGAGGATCGATCGTCGAGCTGATCCTTCGCGATCGATCGGTCCCGTTCGAGGGGGAGACTGGAGAGAGAGATTTGATCGGAGGAGACGGGGAATTGGACGGGAAGGTGCGGTGTGGTGAGCGCGTGAGGAAGGGCGTTGTTATAGACTTGCGCGGATTGGGCTCCTTTTCTCTTCGTCGTCGAGGAGGGGGAGTGCGTAGAGCGCACCCCTAACGTGAGAGTTAGAGAGAGAGAGAGAGAGGAAGGTTCTCTTTTTACTTCTTCTTCTTTTCCCCCCGTTTGCGTCCGTTTTTTCCCTTCCGTGGCTTTTTTTCTAGTACTTGTTTATTCATGATAATAGAATGCATTTTTAATTCTCGAGATTTTAATTATATGTGTATGTATATACACGAGTAATAAAAGAGCTTTTTTTTTTTAAATAACCTATAAAGAGGGCTCCACGTGATAAAATAACAGGATTGGCTCGTTCGTATCGACTGCATTAGGTTTAGATTGAATACCTCTTAATCCTTATTCGATAGGAAAACACGGTCGATGCCACCACTAATTGAAAGACCATGCATGCACCAGTCCTCGGAGCGATTTGGCTATTTTAGCGTACTGCATATGTTAACAAACCTTGCATGCACTGGTTGCTCGGATCGGTTTGATCATTGTAGAGCATTACGCGTTATTGGGGAGTAAGGTGTCCTTAATGGTGGGCATCAATCCATGCATATTGACCATTGTTAATAAGAGTCGTACCTCGTCAACTGAGACTCGACGACCCACTAAAAGAACTGTCTACATAATAGAAGGGGCTCATTCAGGTAATAGGTTTGACTGTTTAGAATCCTAACTTGAATATTTCAAAACCTCCTTCTCTTACAATTATTGCCTTAATCAAGTACTTGTCATAAGGTCAGCCCAACTACAAAACCGTCGAGTTCTAGACGGCTCCCAGGGGAGCCGGTTCAGTTCCATAATATTGGAACTGGTGATTTTCAGTCTGGTTCCTAACCACTCGAGCCGACCTTGCGACAACTATTGGAATGTACCGTGTGGTCCCACACAACCCGAGGCACGTGGTAGCCCATGCCGTGGGCATGGTCGAGCCCGGCCTAGCACGAGCGGGCCTGACCAGGCCCAATAATAAAAAAGGGCAGGGCCCGCACGAAGCTGGTCGTGCCTGGGCCCGGGCCGCTACACAAATGGGCCGGGCTAGTGGTCAAAATTCGGAGAAATACGAGAAGCCATAGAAACTGCTCTACAAGATTGGGCCAAACTGCACACCAATTAGGCGTGACTGGACGATCAATTGGGGCTGCCATTGATTTCCTTAGCAATTGGCCCATTTGGAGGGCAAGTGCCAATGCCACGGTGAAGGTGGGCTTCCAATTTTTATAAAAATGAACTATCGAACATGTATCGTATTAAATAATAATAATTATTTTCCCATAAAAAAAACATGTACGATAATCCACGTCACTTCGAAGATTAACGTGTTGTTATATGACGGAATAACTTGATTACAAAACCTTATTGCTCGTGCGACATAAGTCAATTTATTTTCTTCATTGATGAAGAAAACAACGACAACAAAGACAAATATATTATTAATCATTATCAATTAGAATTGCGTCTACGTCAGTCCTAGTCATGCCCAACCCTTAGTTTAAAAATAAATCCATACCATTAAGTATCACTCATTTCATATCGACGAAATTTAATATTAGCCGTGAAATTTCTACCCAAAATCATTAAGGCGCGTCAATGCGCAAATCTTTTCTTCATCATTCCTTATAGTGTATTCCTAAATACACTAGGGAAAAGCCACAAAAGACCCCAAATTATGCCTTGAACTTATTTTTGTGACATCATAAACCCTAGACCATGTTTATCGTGATAAATTTACCCTAAATTTTTTCTCAAATTTATACCTATATGACACATTTACCATTCGTCAAGATTCCGTTAGATGATTTTTCAGTCAAAATAACTTCGTTTTTATTTTACTTAAGCACGTGACCGTTTGCATTTTGCCGTCTATGTAGGCATTTTTACAGTTTTCATTGACAAATTTTTTATGGAGGGTAAACACGTCACACATGTATATATTTCGGAGTTTCGGTGTCGCGGAAAAATAAATTTAGGATAAATGAGTCACGATTAACATAATTTAGGATTTCCGGTGGCTTTTGACCTAACGAAGAAAAAGACTTTTTATTTTTTCTTTTTAAAGACAAATCAAAAGGCAAAGTCATCACAAGTTGATATAAGAGCAAAGACCAAGTCAAGCTAGTTATTATTTCCAAATAGCAATAAGTTTAACATTTTGAGGAAAGTCGATAATAGGAACATCTAATTAAAAGAAACATACGTGATCATCCAAGGTGATTTTCTGCATGCAATGAAAATTGAGTGAATCTAATCTACGGGGTGAAAACAATCTCGCCTTTTAAATTAGGAAAAATACCATAAAAAGTCACAAATTATTCTAATCGCGACGGAAAGACCTCGGTTTTTTTTTTTTTTTCATCACCGAAACCCGATTGTCCATGACAAGAAATTCTAAACTTTCTTTCTTTTGCGGCACCGATACTCCATTGAGCAATTAAAAATATGAAAATCATATTAATTTTTAGGTTCATTATGCTTAAAAAGAAGATTAAAAGAAAAATAATCAAATGCTAATTTCAATTCGTTTTATGGGAACTCAACAACAAAGACAGCTTGGCACGTCGTCGTCAATTCACAAATGTCAATAAACCCGGCGCCACCCCACCCCCCCCAACAACAACCACCGGCGTCTCGCGACTCCGCCGACCGCCGGCGGCGACAGCCGATCCGCCACGAAGTAATACGCAAGCACCGGGGAAAGCCGTGCACGGAATCGAACGGCTCCTCCTTCATATCTTCTCGAGCTTCTCGGCGACGACGACCGGGTTGGCCTTCGAGATCTGCTCCCTCCCCATCGCCTTGAAGTCGAAGTCGCACCCGTGCTGCTCCGGGTATCTGTGGGACCCGCAGAACGTCACGCCGCACCGGCACCCGAACCCCGTGAGCCCCACGCGCCGCCTGCACGCCGCGCACCTGCTCGGCCCCGCCGCCGGAGCCGCCTCGCGCCCGTCCGCGGCCGGCGGCGAGGGGCCGCGGCCGGAGCCGCCGAGATCGACGCGGCGGAGGCGGGGGCGGGGGCGGAGGCGGAGGCGGAGGCGGAGGCCGGGGCCAGGGCCGGGGCGGGGGCGGAGGTCTGGTCGAGGGCGAGCTTGGCGCTGGAGGAACGGCGCTCCTTGAGCTGGAGGTCGCGGTAGCACTTGGAGCAGAGGTTCTGGGTGGTGGGGCTCCCGAAGAAGCCGCAGTTGTTGGCGCAGAGCTGCTGGGCCTGGAGTCGGTGCTCTTCCGCCATCTCCGATCTCGCGATCTGCCGCCGATCCGAACCAGGGGAAACAACAAGAGAGAGAGAGAGAGAGAGTCAAAGGGAGAGGAAAACGAAGGAAATCCCCTTCTCGATCCGCACCGACGACGACGGGGGTCCGTGTGGTTTCGCGTCCCGGAGAGAAATCAAACAACGCGATCGGCAAGGGCGAGGAAAAGCGAGATAAATACGCCGCGCAGGGAGGAAAGGGAGGGAGAACCTGCAAGGAAGGAAGGTCAGCGATGGCGTGAGCGCGTCCCGCGTTCGCGTGAAGACGAAGATTCCAGACGCCTTCTCCTTCTTCGTCTTCGTCGCGAACTCTTCCACAATTGCTTTCTCTCTCTCTCTCTTTTTCTTTACTGAATTTATTTATTTATTTTTGGGGGGTGATGGGGGCGTTAAATATGGGGGAAGTGGTGGTGGTGGTGGTGGGGTTGATTGGTGAGCAATCAACGTCGGAATTTTTTGATTAAACGGAGGAAGCCGTCGAAGCCACGCCAAGTCGTCGTCGTCGTCACACGCCAATCTGGACCGTTTCTCCCTCTTCCCCCTTCCCCCCGCCGACGTACGTGACCGCGTCGTTCCGAAGAACGACGTCGCATCAGCGCTTCTGCACGTCGTACTCCAACCGCGTGTGTTTTCTCGCCGGATGCTCTCTGTTGACTACTACGTATAGGCGTTCACGCCGAGCAAATGGTCCCGAGCACCACGGCGGCAGCCAAAACCAACGGATCGGCCGGCCCCAAAAAAAAAGAAAAAAACCTATTAGAGGCGTAGGAGGAGCGGAAGCCGTTCACAGCCTCCGCCGGGGGGCCGCCTTTGAGTTAGTGGAGCCGCCGATGTAAACGTCGAGATAGTGAAGTTGATACGACCATCGAAATAGTTGATGTTTAGTGTAACGTCTTGCGATTACGGATAATTACAGATATATCTAGGACATTGTTGATTTAAACACGATAACCTTATGTAACCCCCAAAATGCACTCCCAATCAATTACGACATTTCATCTTCATCTGTGATTCGCCTGTGCATTGATATCCAAGGGCAATTAGCGTAAGATTAGCCATTAATGTAAGCAGTCTGTATTTACCGTGAACACAAAATCACGTCTCACTTAAATCTCCGCTTGTGTTTTTTTTTAAAAAAGTCTCATATAGCACAGCACGCCATCAGTATAAGAAATCCCTCCACAAGCAAAAGATTCAACCGGGAAAATAGGTAATCTTCAACAAATGACCTTCATTCCATCCTAGGACAATTTGTATTCTTCACTTGCAAATATGCCCCTTATGAACAGTCAGTTTCTACCTAATGTCTAAAAATTGACCGAAACCAATTCGACAAGCACCAATTTTAGGCACGAAATAGTTCTTTCTTGTTTTAATTCGATTCTTATGAAGACAGATCTCGGCGGCGGATCATCGTCGCCACCGGTACTGGACTCACCATCTAGGGTGTGCCTTGCCTAGCAACACGATGCCGGTGCAAGTTTCAGAAGTTTATTATACATGCACGGTTTCTTACACGGAGAGCAGAGTCCAATCACAGACATTAAAACCTTCACCACAACAGAAAGGCATCATCATATACCAACCATATGATATTATAAGCCTAAGCTAATCAGTTCCACAACATGATACGTTTGGTCATAAAGTTGTGAGGTAGCTGGGTGATTCTATACAGACAAAAGCCATCACCACCCCCATTTTCCTGCCGCAGGACACCAAAGCACATATAAAATAAACCAGCAAAAAGGGCGACAACTATGTACCAAACGCGCCCATCACTTTTGCTTGTCATTGCATTCCTTATTGTCCTCTCTCACTCCTCTGCGTCCATCTCAACTCCTTTGTTCCTCATACTTCACTCCCACCACGAACCTTATGCTCGTTTGCAGCGCAAACACCCACGGTAACCGGAAAATTTTACTATCAGCCCATCTCGATGTGCCTAAAACCCGGGTCGAATACAGGGAGAGAAATCGGTATACAAGTAAAGATCTAGCTTTACCTGTTTTGGATCGAACACGGCGTACTCGTTGTACTCCAGGGCGCTGTCCTTGTGCTCCGAGGGGATCAAGCGACCACACGGCACTTTGATGTTGTCCTTCCAAATGAAATGCTCCGATTCGTCTGTTTTCTTTCTCCCCAGTCCCTTTACTCATACCTTCTTTTCCTCCAAGGATTTCGTATCCTGTAGGATTTTATGACAAATCAGTGTTGAATCAGTGCTTAATATTGGCATGAATGATTGGCATTAGAATTTTCTCAAATTTAGCACTTCGACTTCATGTACCTCGGGCGGATTTTTAACCTCCAGAACTTGATCTCCCAGAGAAGCAATTGCCAATACCAAGAAGCCCTCCGGCCTGTCAACAGCGGTAAAACCGTACCTTGCTGCTTCTGCGGCCGCATGAGAACACACAATCGCCTTTCCAAACTGAAGGGGTTAAATACAAGGATACAGAAAACCGCCAAATGATACAGGGAACAAATATGTGAAAATAATCAAGAAACGGTGCGACTCACCATGTAACCAGGAACTGGCAGAGAGCAAACAGCGGGCAAAAAACCCTTGTGCAGATGCCTCATCAAATTCGAGCTGCGAGTGCCTGTGGAAACGAAGCTTGATCAGAGTTTACATAAACAGATGAAGTTCTGCTAGTAGTGATTTCATAGTTCTGTTGAGAACCTCACCACACCACAAGAGAACCTTATTGGGCAACTCTTTTATTTCATCATAAGAAGGTGCTGCAGTTGATTCGACAGCAAATATGTTCTCCACCGACACCCCGTAGCTCTGAAAAGAACCAATAGCCAGAGGATTAGAACCGCCGAAAAATGAAGACTGTACATTTACACATCAAAGGCAAATTATGAACTCACTATTTCCCCAACTTTGAGAGGCTCATAAGTATTCTCCACGTAATTCACTATCATCTTGTAGTCATCAGACTCTTTTTCAAGTGGCAAGACTTTGCAGTTCAGCTTATTGTATCGGTCCGAAAGAGGGTCGTCAACTGTAGCCCCTGTCATATCGCCTATAAAGTGTGAGGCATCTGTTATGTCACGGACAGTCTCAAATACGGCTGCAGCCTGCAGGAGCAACACAAATTCTCAGCCCCTGTAACCCGTAGAATAGCTTTTTGAGGAACAGAAAGCCCTTACATGATCGGCAATTTCTTGATAATCTCGGAAAATAAAAGGCCTCGTTGAGTGCATCAAATTGAACCATCTCTGGCTATAATCTGACCACACAGCCTCAGCCTTTTGACCCATCTCCTTCATGGATTTTACTTTCTCTACAGACTCTAGTAGCACCTCCTCACCTGGTCAGCACATCTCATTATTGGCCCCGCTGCTTCTTAAGAATAATGAGAGAAAAGATTCGGATTCTTACATCTTTGCAAGTGAATCCTTGACAGCATCCCCACCGGTAGATCAGGGGAATCCAAGCCCATCTCCATTAGAGCATACCTATAATCAGAGCAATGTCATTGACACCACCAATAACAAGTCACAATTTTTATCGATCACAGAGTTAGAACTTGTGTACAGTACCTATATATTTCCTGACTGCACAAGACTTTCATGAAGTTCGCTACCAGAGGCTCCAGCTTGCAATGCACCGCTGCAACTCCAAGCTGCCGAAGACCTAAGCCCCCATGTCTTGTGTCAACACCGTCGTCCTATTCAAAGGAGAACCCATCTTATCATAAATCGACTCAATAAAGCATAAAATTGTCTCTGAGACGAGATGAAATTTCACTTGCCATGTCAACAGGACAGAATTTCAGCAATTTCTTCTGAAACTTCTTCTCTCTTTCCCAGGGCTCAAACTCGTTCCCTGTTATTTCCTCAAACAGCCTCGCAAACTCCTTCACCGCATTGTCCACATTCTCCCATTCTTCGAGCCGGTCCTCTGCATTCGGATTATCTCCTACTCTTCCCCGCTTGTAGTACAGATGCAAGTTGTCATCGGGAACTGTGACGAGCTGCATTACGCAATAGCTACACCAAATATTCACGAATTACTCGTCAGTATGGACAGCCATAATGAAAAGAAGAAAATAGATAAACAATCGAAGCCCGAAGAATATTTGGCATACCTGTTCAATCCTTCCCCCATATCACAAAGAGAAAAGGCACAGTTATACAGTATTCCATCCCTCTCGAATATTTCCCCTCCTCGCTCTTGTAGCTTCGTGTCTTTGTAGACAGCCTGTTTCCCATACAGCTTCAGCTGCACCAGGAGAAGAAGGTTCAGGTCACGCTTGGTGTATACAAAATTATCCCAGATAACACCATTTCAAGTGTCATAGCAAGTGAAAGACAGCGATCAGTCCATACTTCAGCTGAAATCGATTCAAGTGCCTCCTCGCTCGGATCTTGCTTGTCCCAGGGTATTCCCCTGCCTTCTACAGCCAGATCACTCATCACATCGTAAGCAGATAAAGGTTGCGCCTCTTGTTTCTCGATGCTGTCGAGCAACCAAGCTTCTCTCACCACGGGTATGCCTCTTTCCCTAATCATACAATGTTTCAGCTAGTTATCCCATTACGCGATGACCCTAACAGAGATGAAGTGGTAGGCTCAACCAGAAAAATGCAGAGAAATTTTTAGTCTCACTTAGTATTGCTGCTACGTAACATTTTTGGCTATAGCCACATAGTTTCTTAGTGTCTGACATCAAGTAGAAATCATAACCAGCAAGTTCCATCTACTCACACTGCTTCTGCAACATTTGCTGAGCCGCCACGCTCCCTCTCGGCAGGAGAGACAACTAGACAGGTTACGCCTACAGATTTTGGAAAAGGCTTATGACTCTATATTCCTTACATAATTTCAGTGCTATTTTGTGATTATAAAATCATCAATACCAATGACAGAATTGGAGACTTTTCCTCCGTGTCTCTCGATCTTCGTCATCCAATATTGCTGCACCAATGTTCAGAGTGTCTAATTACACCAACTTGTGTATAGAGTAAAAACTAACTCCAAGTCCAAAGGTCAAGATGCATACATGAGTACGAGAAAGCTGACCCGATAGAGATATCACCATCCCTCGTAGTGGCTTATCTGCAATGCCTGGATCTTTACGAGGTCGACGACTTGGATCCTGATGCTTCTTTAGCAACTGCAAGAATACGTAAGGAGAGAAGACAAGATAATGATAAATCACTACTCATTCTTACACATAAAGAGAAACTAACGATGATTTATGCAAACTTGATGGAGTGGTACATCAGTGATGGGGGAATTGAGGACAGAATCCGACAACTTGATAGGCTCCTCTCTCCTTGGAGGGAATTTGGTGCTGAACGTGCAAGACGCCCATTCGCTATAAGCTCCCTTACACTTATACTTTGTACCAGTAAATTCGATAGTTCCACCGCAAATTGGGCATTTGTCCAATGGCCCGTAAAACAGCAAGTCTTGGCTGCATCATCAATGCAAAGATGTCTCAAATTTATCAAAAAGGGGTTAACCGAAGTATCATCAGAATTGTTTTCCAGATTGCTCCTCCGAAGCTAGAGACATACTACATAGACAATGTTTCGGTCTACCAAAGCAACATGTCACCAAATCAGTGAATGTTTGAAGCTTACAAACTCTCGATCAAATAACAAACAAAACCGTGATGGTGGTCCTAGGTTCAGTCGTACTAAACATTTAGGACGGGCGACTTTATCTTAAAATAAGTTATGTAGAATGCCGAGTACCATTTAGAGGTTACAACCCCCGGAGTACCAGAGGAGTCTTGGCCGTTTGCTTCCAGGATCTCGCGCATCTGGTCGAATGACAGATGTTCCTCTGTAGCTCTGCACTATTCCTCGAATTCAGTGTCGACTTTATCTGATGGTTTGCGGTCTGGATGCCCATTATCGTTCTCGGCCTTTGGTTTCTTGGGCAATTGCTCCGATTCCTGCAGCTTGTGCTGATCGGCTTTCTGCTTCCTCGTCATCATCTTGTCATCGTCCATTGGCACGTGCGCCTGAGACCTTGTCTCGTGCACCTTTGCCAAACTCAACTCACAACATATTACACACAGAAAACTCTCCTGAGGATTTCAGTTTCACATGTATAACTTGGGGCGGTTCATGTCATAAGGTGACATTCATTTCCTTTCTCTTGCTTATTCCCCTCCTCATCCCTAACTTAAATTAAACAATTTCTTGCGTGACAAGGGATTCTATGCATAGAGTCCAAGAACAAAGCAATACATCCTTGGTCGTGAATAAGGGTTTCTAAGAAACAGTATAAACCACACTAGCTTCCTTCTGATGTTTTCTCATTCATCTAGAACTAAACTAAACGGGCTCATAACCCCATCCATTCTTGGATTAACAGTATCAAACACAGCCGCCACAAAAGGACTATTCCTCCCTATATGATCCTTGTTGCAGCAAGAAATGAGCACCAACTACAAAAACAAGTTTCCTAACAATCAAGAAACAATCGGGTCAGTGCACAAACCTTCATAGCCTTTATCTCTTTCCTTTCCCGGTCTTTCCTTCAAGCTTTGCCAAAAAACCAGACGGATTCAGCACACGTGGAGAATCACAAACTTGTTCAGGCGAAGCCAACACGCAGTTTCATAGTACTCTCAGCACCGTCAGAGAGTCTTGACTGCGGGGTTTATTACAGAGAGCTCCCGAAGGGACACGTAGTCGATACACTGAGGCACTGTGCTGCTATTAACGTGACAATTGTCCGCAACGCATGCACGTCCATGACATGTGTTGAGTTTCACGGCTTGAGCCGTCGACATTTGGTAGTTTAAGCCTCTTTGACCTTGCTCGCTCCTTGCATGAATACGAGGATGAAGAGGATACATTCGACCCTTTATCTCTGTCATCATGCGTAATAAATAATATATATTATATATTTAGAGGTCATCCAAAAATGTCTGCGATAAACTTTCGCTATTTTTTTTAATTTACTGTATTAAGCTGTATCAAATTACAGATTTTTACTTATCTTACTTAGCAACCCATTGCATATGCTAACTTTTAAATTATCAATTACAAAAAAGAGTTGATAAGTGTTTCACTGGAAATCGGGATCTGTCCCAAATTAATAAAATGCATTTTATCAAAGGTTGATCTTTGGTTTTCTTTTAAGTAAACAGGTTTAGTGGAGATTCGAACAGGGATTGAATTTGCGTCACAAGGATGAAGAGCTATAAATCTAAAGGGAAAGAAATACAAGTAATGAGAACTTGAATTATATTGATAAATTGCAAATACATAAGGAATTTCTAGTGATGATGGTGGGATCTTAAAACATAACAGTTACACTTTGCCTCATATAAACTACAAAACGTAACCACTCACAAGTAGATAATATTCTAATGACAGTTACAACAATATCTTAATAACTTTAGGCATCATGATCGCGTGTCGATCTTATCCATCAACACTTGCGACTACGTAAGTGTAACCGGGCTCAACTGATATTTGTAATTTTAGTTGATATCTTCACTTTGCCTCCTCTTCTTTTCCAGTGTCCAACACTTAGCCAAATTTGTTAAGTGATAATTGTCAATCAATCGCCATCATATGTCGACAGTTGTATATCACAGTCATTGATAATCGTCATGGTCATCAACCAATGTTTCCGTTATTCATAACTTACCAACAACCAAATTGAACTCAACACCGAGCTCTATACTCATTCAAATCGGCATCATGTCGATTACAAAGATTTGGTCATTTTTTTTGTGTAAACAGTAAGTCGCTCATATAAAAATCGTTAATTCCATAAAATGTGACGAATCTTTTGGACTACTTCCTTGCCCTGGAAATCTTATCCATAAGTTTTTGTGCACACAGATTTCAAAAACTATGTACGAAGAATATAATGTTAAGTACAATTTAATTAATACTGGTTTATAAAACTGACTTATAAAGGGACATGATAATTTTATTCATTGTGTTTGAATAATTAACCTGAGGATTAATTTTGATCAATCTAATTTCAGCATACTTAGCATTTCTAATGAAAATGATTTGGATATATGGCTTTTTCCCTCCTCATGAGTATCTGTGGTCATCACTTTAAAGGAAGAGAATCAGAGGTTAATTTTGATTAAGGAATACATTTGACCCTTTTTTATGCAGATATTTAGTTATTTTGTTGGAGGATAAGTATGGCTCTCCCTTTACATAAGAAAATTAAATAAGAGTCATTAGATGTTTGAGTGCTTTACAGTATCTTTGTAAGTCCTAGATTCTCCAACACATTGTACATCGTAAATGGGGTACACATGATGTGCCACCACTATGTATGAAAATAAACTTACTTGCTTCGACTTTGTCCTTATATAATATATATACTCAATCCTTTGGTAGGTGTCTATGTTCCAAGATACTTATATCCCGATCAATTTATTTAATTGAAACTTTCTAATCATCGATGGTGAAGTAATGGCACGAGAGCCCATCTCTATGGAAAGATCAATATTGGCATAGTGAAATTTTAAGACTGGCAATTTCCGTTAACGTATCATAACCTCGTTTGTCATTCATGTCAAGCTACATATCTGACATATGATGAAAACATATTGATTCGTATCGATATACGTATTGAGTACACCATCTCATGTCATGTTGAAGTTTTCTCTTTATAATTCTTGTTTCGCCTCACGTAGGTAATAGTGTCGTGTAGGTCGGTCGCGTCAAATGTCATATTGAATCATAATTAGATGTGAATATGTTAATCATCTTCTGATGAAATGACAGGTATAAAAACCTCAATCAATTAGTAGAATGGAAAGTGGGTCCTGGAGAGGAATATATAGACTATGGTTTAGGATGATTGATGACAATTAGTTTCAAAGTACCTTTTGCAGAAAGTGGTTTTCGTGAGTAAAGGTTTTTTGTTTTGTCCCATGCAGCATACATCTGAACGAGTTCTGCAATTGAGAATATCCAATGTCGACAAGTCGCATATTACAACTAAGATGCACCCCAATCATGCACAAGAGAATCCACAAAAGACTGAGTCTTTTCATCGGATTAGACAAAACAAAATATTGTTTTTGTTAGTTGGTAATACGAGATGTCATCAATTTCACTTGTACGCAAGTATGATTGTGTGCACCATTGCTAATAAGGTCAATAAAACTGAATTAGGATAATTGTTTCCGGAAAATTATTTTCCGACTTTTCCGGTGTTTGGATGATAACAAAGCTAATTGATCCATGAAAAATGTTTTCTGCGGACTGAAAACAACAAATTTAGATTAAGAGAAAACAACTTCCCCTTATAATGAGAAAGAAATCATTTTTCCTAAACTACAGAATAAATGAAAACTAACCATTTTCCTTGAAAATGATTTTCATGAAAAATATTTTCGTTTATCATGAAATTTTTAGTGAAACAAACGTACCCTAAAACACATTTGCAAGGAAAGCACACCGTCATGTATTGTACTAGTTTACAAACCTGTGCTTCGCACTTGTTGCCCCTCCCGCCCTTTCAAATTCATCAATTTAATCTACTCGAATCCTCACTCAACCACCCACCGCTCAACCATTTCATCCGCGGCGCCGTCAATGCCCTCGCGTCGTTGCCATCTGCCACGCCCCAAGTCATGTTGCCTGCAGCCACAACCTCAATGCACCTACCCTGTCCTATCCGCTACGGAGCTCGGTGACTCCATGGTTACTGAGATCTCGGCCGAGCTTGGAGAGCTTGCACTCTACCGCGTTGTTGAGCATGGGCCTAGATCCTGAGGGATCGAGCTCTGAGCTCATGCTCTGCCGTGGCGTCGAGCATGAGCCCCATATTTGGTGTGCTCGAATGCAACGCTAGTTATAGTCAAGCTCGAGCTCGTCCCCGGTCACGAATATAGAAAATCTAGAATAATAGTAATAATACATTTTTGGTTCTAGTTAAGGGGATGATTGTGGTGAAAGAAACAAATTATTCTTCATTAGCGATGGTAGCCGGACTTCTAGGAGATTTCCTCGGTCTCTTGCCTTTCGTAAGCATCCAAATGAACCGTGAAGCCATTTTCATGACAAAGCTGATACCACAAGGCTAGGGCTTTACACATTGTGCATCAAATTCGAGCCGCCTCTTTTTTATTTTCTTATTTTTTTGGTCGAAAGAGCTGCCTCTTTATTTGCGTAAAATCCGAGATTTACTTTTTAAGAACTCTCATGCTCAAGTTTCTCACTCAATTGTATATAGACAAAACCCATGCATTTTATTCCTATATTATGATCCAAATCATGCTTAATTAATTTCGTGACAAATCCAAGCAATACGGTTTTCTAACTGGGAAATATCATATACATTGAGACTACTTGATTGCACTTATTTGAAAATCTTGAAGACTTTAATAAATGACAGGAATAAAACATTTTAAAACCCAATATGCAGGTGGCGAAGACTTTTGGGACTCCTACGACGCACTCTCCCACAAAAATTGATGGTTAGGTCCCATGCCCTTTTTGTGGGTGTCCAATCAATCTCATCTCGCGTGGTTTTTGAACTATGGATCAAATCAAGTACGTCACTTTTGATGTTATGTCGACTGTCGGGCTATTAATGAAAAATCCCACTCCATGCACCTATGTAGTTCAAGGGCCAACCACAATTAGCCCCCTTTCTTAGTGGTCTCTATGGATCCCACTTGTTTGAGTTGTCAGCTCCGGCGAACCTTGGTCGGGCCTATCATGCGGACCCGAGTCGAGGATGATGACATCGGAGACGTTGGTCTCATGCGAGCTCAGCACATCACGATCCTCGGTTAAACGATTGTACTAATTCCGTTCCTACATCACTTGATAACTGGTTCTATATGCTTTTCATATTCGCGTGGTTTCCTCCGCCAATCAGCTTTCTGACAGATCTGAGCGGATTCCAAACATTTTTCGTGGTTGGTATCATTACACGAGGGAACGAAGGACAAATCAAAAGAGGCTTAAATTTTTCCTCAAAATAAAAGAACCGAGGATCAAGTCAAAAGATGCATGGGCGGGAGGGAGGGACAAGACCATGAGGACGCAGGAACGTGGCACAGTGAAGTTCGGGAAAAGCAGGAGCGTGCGGTGCTGGGCGAAATGGAGTCGTCGTGGCAAGAGGTGGGGGGACGACGGACGAGGCTCGACTGGATGCACGTGGCGAGAGGCGGGACGAGGCCCAGGCAAGCAGGCTGTGCCCGCTATCCCTCCGCTTCGTTTGCCTTCTTCCTGTCCCTCTCGTACTGAGGAAGTGAGGTTATCTGAACTGTGGGAGTTGCTGCATAGGGGTGCCCCCCACCTACCCCAGAGACCTCCCCCCTCGGTGGACCAAATCAATCCACGAAGTCGCCATCGGTGGTCGTATGTGCGGAGTACATCATTGTAGTTGCATCCGGATAAATTATTCTATCTGTCTTGAATCCAATTTACGGATATTGATCAGATCAATTTAGTCATAAACGTCTTGACAAACCCCACTAGCCTTTCTGAGAAGTGAATAATATCGATGAATGGTCAGAATGTTTAGGATTAAATTAATCAAATTGAAAAGTTTATGACTGAATCGGCTGCTATACAAATAGGTTTAGAACTTTCGGGGTCAACTTTTCGTAACAAAGGGTTTTCTCCGGTCACAACCTTCTAAACCGGAGGACAAAAAGAACCGTGATCTGACTTTAATTACATAATCTATCTCCGTTTTTATTGAAATGAAAGTGGGAGCTGGTCAATATCATTTCTGTTTTCTGACTTTATTCGTCGGACAGCGTCGGAGACATTAAGAATTTTACATCAGAGCCTATAGATTAAGTGGTGTTGGCAAATGCTCAAAAAATTTATAATGCACACACTAGGAGATTTGTCGTAGATGATTTTGTATTTTGTGGTAAAAAACGTAGAAATTGGGTGTTTTACTATTAATAGGTAAGAAATCTAGCTTCTGCTGTCTGGCCTGGTGGACTGGAGCAGAGATGGGAGGTGAGCGAAGCACAGTGAAAAGTGAGAGCCTACTGCAAGAGGAGAATCTCGCCAATCACATGCCAAGATCAGCTGCAAAAAGGCCATTTCCATAAAAACACTGCTGAAATTACAAGATTTACTTTAATTACACAACTGCAAAAGTAACAGCAACATCATATCATCATACGGGGAGAGTTATGCCAAGCATCAGCTAGCTTAGTGCACTGCATTTAAGAAAGAGACGACACCCATGACCTCTTTCTAGCCTAGTTCGATTATTCTTTTCGTTTCTGAGTGTTACAACGTCTATATATCAAGCCTTGCGTTTATCTAATGCCCTTACAACTGTGGCCAGAGCTGGTTCATCATTGGTGCATCGCGGTTGCGATATGTTTCAGCGCCTCCTCGCGGCCGTTTCCCTCTGGGCGTTGAAGAACACGGCAGCGACTGGAAGGCCGAGCTCGTTCTCGTCGGCGAACTTCCGGGTGTTGAAGCGGTCTCTCGAGGAAGGAGGCCTCACCATTTCCCTGCGCTTCTGCTTGAAGAGAAGGAACACAAACCTGTGGATCCCTATGTTTGGCCTCGGCATTTCATAGCCCACCACTTCCTTCCCTGTAGTTCACATGAAAAATCGAAGCAACTATTGATTTATCATATATTAATGTGTAACTTACTATCTCCGCGCTTGTGCATGCTCGCGCGCGGGAGGAGAGGACGCGGTGAGGACTTACCAAATGCAGCATCTGTAGTGCCGGGGATGTCTGTCACGATCCTGTCGGAGTTTCAAACAGGACTTCAATCAAACCGCATTCTTTTTTGCTAAAATTGAAGAGAGACCCAGACGGGGCATATATGAACACGTTGTCAAGTCATGAATGTGTTCAGCAATCGTTCTACATCATAAGATTCATAAGCCTATCATCAACTATATGTAACGTTCGCTAACATTATGTCTTTCAACGTCATCCAGATTCAAAACCCTGAAAAGTATGTCAAGAAGGGTTCTTAGCGATCTTTGACTACTAGTTGACCAGCAGGGGGTTAGGGAAAAGAAAAAAAAAATTCCTAAGAAACAAGTAACTCCTAATTTAAATCTTTTAGGTATTTTTTTGATAGCAAAGTGAAGTGTTTTCAATACCAGTGCAAGTGCTCTCTCAGATACGGATCGCTAGGACCAGGAACATCAGGGTCTGTCATCACCTGCAAGGCATGATAAAGTACTGGTTCATCAATTATCATCAAATCAAGAAGCTCAGAACCAGAAGGCATATGACCCGAAAGTAGGAAAAACTTTATACGCAAAGTGCAATGAAGTTACATATATGAAGCTATATACCAGAGTGAAAAAGGACCTCATATCACCACCATGAACCTCAACCTTGGGCTTGGTGGTGACCCAAGAAGGGAAGAGCTCATGGCCATTGAAGACCTGCTTGTTTGAGTTGTAAGTGACTGTCATCTCGACACTTGCAGAGAAAGAGTCGGTCACATCTCCAATAACTCTCCCCACAACAAGAGGGTTTGATGACATCTTTGCCATAAACCTTCTTGTAATGTTGTTGGGTTTTCTTTTCTCTTCTTTTTTTCGATGATCTCTCTCTTGAGGGGCTTTTTCAATGAAAACTTGGGGGAGAACCTGTCCGTATTTATAGTGTGTTTTGAGAAGGAACAATGTGGGGTTGGGTATGTGCTTCGCCCAAGAAGAAGTTCAGAAAGAGAGTATGGAATTTTAGAAAAGTAAAAATAAAAGATTCTAGCTAGCATTATGCTATAGGTGACCTAGGAATGCGTTGGCTCTGCAACAAAAGTCATGTTGAACCCTACCTCTCATTCAATTCTTCCATGATTACCACATTCTTAGTAGCATTTTTGGACTTCAAGTGTAAAGAAATCCATGTAGTAATTTGTGTGAGACTCAAATCGTCTTTCTCTGCCTTCTTATTTGTTCTCTAATAAGTTATACTCCATTCTGTGAGTGCCCATCAGATCAGGAATAAAATGGAGATTGATTAAATTTATGAGTGCGTAGGAACTCATTAGATATATAAAGCTATTATCCCTATCTAGACAAAGTCAGATAATCTATGAATAAAAGTTATGGACTATGTTTGATACATATAGTTTATTGGTGCATTTTCTAACCACTCGAGGTTTTTTATTTTATTTTATTAAATGATCGTCTAGCATGTAGCAAAGTTCAAACAATAGTTCAGCTTTCCAGCAGTTTTCTCTTCTGGTTATTTTAATTGCTTCAATTTTTCTCTTTCCTAATCTCTATGCTGGATAGAGTTGTATTCACAAGTCGGGTAAGAAACCAGGTCGGTATATCCTGGGAACTGGCTCGAATTAGCCTTAATCGGCCCATTCACATGGAGATTGTTTGTCTCTTTGGGGACATCCGATAAAAAAAACATGGGATAGTCCCGGTTCTCAGTTCGAAAATGGAGAACTGGCCTTGATCGGTTGGTTAAAATTACCAAAGTCTTAAACCTATTGCAATTATGCCAATCTAGTTTTAAACCTTTTTTTTGCCAATTGAATTCTTAATCTTTTGCGTATGTGCCAATTTAGTTCATCTGATCAATTTTCGCTAGAGATCATTAACGTGGATGCCAGCTGTCCTACGTGGCGCGACTAGAGCTGCCATGGACAATTTTATTAATATTTTAATATTTTTCCATTTTTTTATTTTTCCATTTTTTCTATTCTTCTCTTTTCCTTATTAACTTTTTTCTTCTTTTTTTTCCTTTCCTCTTCTTTTCTTTTTTTTTTCTCTTTTTTCTTTTTTTCCTTTGCCGTCCTCATCAATGGCCGGCGGAGGTTGCCCTTACCGGTGACCTCCACCGGCCCGACGATGGCCAACATAGGGAAAATAAAAAATAAAAAAGAAGAGAAGAAAAAAAGAAAAAAAGTAAAGAAAAAAATATTAAAAGAATTCAAAAAATATTAAAATATTATTAAAAATTATCCACGTCAGCGCCGGCCAGACGCCCGGTGTCCACGTTAGAGATTTCGGACCAAAATCTGCCAGATGACTCAATTTGCACAAATCCAAAAGGTTTATGACTCAATTGGCCAAAAAAAAATGTTTAGAACTGAATTAGCACAATTGCAATAAATTTAGGACTTTTTTGTAATTTTCCCATACCGTGAACCGTTGACTTTACCTGGAAATCCAAAACAGAGAACCTATTAGGCCGGTTCTAGGATAGAACCAAGAGCCAAACCAGTTTACGCCTAATCCTAAACAAGTTCTTACATCCTCTTTTTTTAAACTGAAAATATTTGTTGAAATGAAATATATTTGATATATTATCATTAAGCAAAAAGGATTGTATTCATATTTAACACATGGATATTGTGTGTGTGTGTGTATATATAATTAAAGAAAAGAAAAAAAAAGCCCTGACTGGTTCAGTTTCAAGCCGGTTTGAGGGTTAACCGGGCTGATTCCCAATTTCAAAAACCGCAAAATGACCCTAATGGGGGTACGTTACGGGTTTCAGGTCTGAAGCTTACTCATTCTGAAACCGATCCCATATTTTGGTCTCACACGTGGCCGGTGTTAAACGAATCAAGGGCAAACCCCACCTCAATCTCATTTTCTGATTTTTTCCCTTGGTTACAATAATGTGAAGACATAAAAGGCGGCCTCGGGGGCGTTCGTGCTCGGACATTCTCAAACCAGTTGGGAAGGTCTCAAGGGCCCTTTTGCATATAAGGCAATAAAAGCAGGAACCCTAATTGTAATTGGTGACATTGGAATACATTCCCAGTTATCCAATCATTCTCACAATCAGCACCAATTCTTGGCGTTAGAAATCAGGTCTTCATTTGAAATATACAATTGGGGGGAAAAAGAGAGAGAAAGGTGGGGAGCATAAAGAAGCTCCACCACAAAGGGCTCTCAAAGACTTGCTTAGTCGTCAAGTGTCACTTCAAAGCTGAAAGCCGATGATGCAGCCCCCAAATTGGTAATTGAGAGGGAGTGGGGTTGCCCGGTTTGGATGGAGCCTATAAAGGCCCCCCCTCTTCTTCCATATTCCCCAAGGGATTACTTATGATGGTAGGAGGGAGCCACGGAATTGGACTTCCAACTATCTTCTGTTGGATTTTCGTTATGATTCTCGAGAAACCGATTCGTTGTCGTAGCACGTTGTACCCGAGTCATTTCATCCCTGTTCCTACACAAAATATCAGTGCGCGCGAACACTCCGAATCCTTTCGATGAACGTCCGAAATCTATTTGTGTGTGTGATCGGTGGTTATAGATCTCGCGAGGAATGTGTCTCTGAGGAGTGTAGACGCCCTCTTTCTTTCTTACCAACTAGGGCTTATTTGTTTAAAATTCGGCAATAGTAAAAAAAAAGTACTTTTTTGTTTTCTTGCCAAAATTTAAAATACTATTTAAATTTAAAATTTCGAAAAAAAATTTACGCGTGAGTTTACGTCTCAATATTTATATATTGAACGGGTTTCAAGTGTTTCATATTTAAAGAAAAAAGTCAAAATACGGGAGCCAAAAAAATTTATATTAAGCAATATGTAAAAATTATGAATGTTTAAGTCTAGATAGGCTCAGAGCCATCAGTTTCTTTTCCTAATTTTGCCATGAGATTTTACACAGTTTAAAAAAGCCTGCGGCAAGGGATTTCAAGTAGTTTGATTAACAACTTCAGTGACAAATCAAAAGTATTATGTATTGTAATTATATCACGCGACGGCGATATTTGCAGAAACCAAACAATCAAGGATGAGATTTTTCGAAATTCAAAAGAAAAGTTGATCGAGATGCGTATCGTGAAACCGTTGTGATTGAGCAGTCGTGCTGCATCGACTATGCAACATGGTGTGCAAGATAATTTATTTTTTTTCATTCACTTGGTTTATAGATTCGTCGAGCAAAAAAGTGAATTCATAAAAAAAAAAAGAAAAAAAAAATACGGAGCGAAAGCCCAGGACTTTGCGGCCCGAGAATATAGGATATGTGGGCCCGCCGGAGAGCCTGGTCAGCATGCCAGCTGGGCCCAAGAACCATTCGGGACAGAGTCTGGGTTCGTACGTTAGCACTGAGCCTGGATCCAATGGAACCGGGCCGTGTCGATGGTACGTGCACCCACTGCCACGTCACTGCTGACCGACCGAATCACCCCAAGGCGAGAACCAAACGTGCTCGAGATACATGGGGTCACACTCTTATACGAAATTACCATGTTTTATTTGACCGATTCATCCGTTTTGCTTCGATTGAGTTACTAACTAGTTTCACGTTATCAATTATTATTCGGGTCACTTATCGATGCCTATGGCCTCGTTTGGAAATTACAAACCTTTTTTGATATCGACCTTTAATTTCGAGTAAGAGTTGATAAATTCAAAAGGGACAAATTCGCTGAAAATCTCAAAACTTGTCATAAAAATATAATTGAGTCCTAAAACTTACAAAAGAAAAGTACAATTAAATTTTAAAACTTGTCAAATTGGTGCAATTAAGTTCTTTCATTAATTCCGTCTAATTGAGCTAACGAAAAATGTTGACGTGGCTTTTTTTTTTAGTATTTTCTTTCTCCTACGTGGCGATGACGTGGCTAAATCATGAAACGAGGATATGAACACATAGGATTTATTAACCACTGCATTCAATTTACCACGTAGGATTTACAATAATCCATACAGTAATCGACACGTGTTCGTATCGGGTCCACCTGTCAGAAAATTGTCTCTCTCTCCCCTCTCTCTCACGCGCTCCACTCTCCATCTCCTCTGCAACCCCACGCCCAACCCCCCCTCTCTCCCCCCTCTCTATCTAACTTTCTTCGCTCGACACAGTTCTTCAAGCTCAAGTCCTTCAAGCTCGACTCTGCCATCTCCGCCCGCACCCTATCCATGCTCACTACCCTGAATTCGAGCTCAAGTCCTTCGAGCTCGACTTTGCAACCGCAGCCGCAACCGGCGACCTCGACGACGACAAAGAAGCACTCCCGAATCTCACGATCAATCCAGAAACTGCGAGCGCGTGAGGGAGAGGAGAGAGAGACGATTGTCTGACAAGTGGGCCCGCTATGGACACGTGTCAATCACTGTATGAATTATTATAAATCCTACGTGGTATATTCAATGCACCTAATATTTTTGGCGAGGTTCTCCCGTTGACTTCTTCAGAAATTTACAAACAACTACTTCATCCTGAGCAAATATTTAGCTGCACCAGGTTCATGTGAGTCTGGTTCACATCCACCGTCAGATCAGGTCGATCTACGTGGATCTCATCTCATCTAACGAGGCATGCAAGTTTGACCCGCATGAACCGGAACGCAAGTGACATTCTTCTCCCGCACCCTCCTCCCGCTGCTGTTAAGTGTCAACTGGTTCGCGTCGATGCACGTTGAAGAAGGGAAGGTCGACACCGACCGGTACAACCGAGAGTCAAAATCGTGCGGAGCTAATTCCCTTCTTCCAAGAACCCTTCGAAAGATTCTTCATCAGCATCCCGTACCCATGATTCCGAACCTCGTAGCACTACCAGGGACAGCACCGGTCGTGTCCGGGTCAGTTCTGCTTCACCATACGTTCAATATCACACGCTCCATGATCCAATGTGGTTGAGCTCGAGACCGGCAGAAACACACTCCATCTTCTTCCGCAATACCCGCATCTTGCTATAAAGGGTCCTTGGTGCTGTCGTCTCACGTGTCTATTTCCTCTCTCTGTTTCGTTTCTTGGGTGAACGGGAAAGTGGTTCAAGGGCTCTGCTCGTGTGCTTGCTTGCTTCTGTCTCTCTCTAGTGCGAGAAGATGCTCGCCGCAGTGGCGGCCATTGTGGCTGTGGGTGTGCTCGCTTATGGGTACAAGAGCGTGAAGCCTCCTCCTCCTAAAATCTGCGGGTCTCCGGGTGGCCCCCCGGTGACGTCGCCCAGGATCAAGCTCCACGACGGGAGGCACTTGGCGTACAGAGAGAGGGGCGTGGCTAAGGAGAGGGCCAAGTACAAGGTGATCCTGGTTCATGGGTTCAACAGCTGCAAGGACTTTTACGTGCCATTGTCTCAAGTAAGATTCTCTCTGCTTCTGACAAATACTAGTTCGTACGCGAGTTTGTTTGTCCGAAGTTGCTAGCCTGTAGCACGCGGAATGTGAAGCTGAGCCTAGAGTGAAATGGCCGAGACATGTTGATGTAGTCTCTGAGACAGTAAAAGGTTGGAGCTTGGGACTAATTAGTTGGTTGGTACCTGAATTGTTTAGAAGATAGTCTGAAAACTGATGAATCCTTTCGAGATTGGGGATTTTGAGCGAGAAATGGTTTTTTTTATAGTCGCGAGGATAATGGCATAATCTACTTTGGGGCAATGTCTTGGTGTTTCGTAGCGTAGATCAAGCGTAGGCGATGCTTGCCATAATTATTCATTCATGGCACTCTTGTGACATCATTAGTTCATACGCCATTAAAGGCGCCACCATATGCTACAATACGCTCTATTCTGCTGGTATTTGGCTTTCAATTGTAATTGACAAGAGGACTGATGAGAAGATTGGGTACAATGTAAAACAATTCTCAGGAGAATCATTTATTTTGTTCCAGTAATCTGGCTCGGTACCGTCTTGTTGGTTCAACTGTTGTTACAGATCTTGGATCTGTGGTGTCTGTATTTCTTAAATGATGGTTACGTGCACTATCTTCCAAGTCATTAGTCTAAAGCTACTGATTGGTCTTAAAGATGTACTTCGTGTCATTAGTTCTGTATCTAAAGCTGAAGCACCATAGGAAGAATTGGGACTTTTTTAATGGGAGCTCAGAGCGATGGAATCAGGCTCAATTACGTCTCATGTTGAGTCTTTTTTGCCATGTAAGTGATGAAAAAATTTGGTCTGACCATGCAGAAAGTGATGGAGGAGCTGGATGTATATATCCTGGCATTTGATCGACCTGGTTATGGAGATAGTGATCCAAATCCTAAACGCTCCGTGAAGAGTGAAGCATTCGATGTCCAAGAATTGGCTGACAAATTGGGTCTTGGAGCCAAGTTCTACCTGATGGGTGTATCCCTCGGTACACATGTCGTTTGGTCTTGCATGAAGTACATACCACACAGGCATGTTGTTCTTTTCTGTCCTACGTTCGCGGTGTATTGATTGCATGTTCGCGTCAGCCATAATTTAGCTTGGAGGGGGCACTAAACATGCCATGGAGTTGGTTCGTTGTGGATTATCTTTTTTGTTATCTGCAAACAAGTACGAACTTCCCCGACACACCAAATTGTCCTCGATAGCTGATTGATGTCTTGACTTTCATTGACTCCTGGTTGTATGATGTCTTTGCCGGGAAGTGTTAGTTCAATAGGCTATGCAGGTATCAAAATGCTCTTGCTGATCATCTTGCGAATTAACATTGCTCAAGAGAACGTGCTTTTTTCGAATTGTGCGCGACAAGTTCCTAGAAATAACTTCACAAAGAACACTTAGGAAATCCTTAGATAGGCTTGTTTTCAAGAATATTTCACAAAAGAAGTATACGAAGAAAATTAATGAGCAGGAATTTGCTGAATTGCTATTTCTGAGATATGTTTTGCTTGAATTTGGTGTGAAGCTTGGGTCGCATTTCTTGTTGATGTGGCCTTCTCTAGAACTTGCCCATTGAAAAAGAAAAGTTCCTTTAATTGCGGCTCCCTGGATTAGCATGATGCTTAAACTGTCAAAATAACGTCTTCCTGTCACTCACTATATCGAACTGTAAACACAGGCTTTCCGGTGTAAGTCTTAATGTTCCGGTGATCAATTTCTGGTGGCCTTCTTTCCCTCCAGAGTTGGCCCACGAGGTGTACAAGAAACAGCTCAAGAGGGACCAGTGGAAACTCTGGATCGCGCACCACACCCCGGGACTAACGTACTGGTGGATGACCCAGAAATTGTTCCCTTATTCCTCTATCATGCAGGGACATCCGATTCTGTCTAACGAGCGAGATGTCGCAACAGCACAGGCCATGTCGAAAGTACCGAATCCACATGAGGTTGGGTTCTTTCCTTTGATTGCACTAGCATGCCATTTTGATGTTTTAAGGCCATGTCAAAAGTACAAAAAATTTGACGGTTATTAAGAATATTTGTCTATAAACTCTCTGGACAATTTGAAAACGGTCTTGTTTGTGTTGCAGCACAAGATTCGACACCAAGGCGACTACGAATCCCTCCACCGAGACCTTAAAGTGCAATTTGGCAACTGGGAGTTCGACCCGATGGAGCTGAACAATCCGTTCCCTAATAACGAGGGCTCTGTTTCCCTGTGGCAAGGCCACAACGATAAGCTTGTCCCGTTCGAGCTGCAGAGGTATGTTGCGAAGAAGCTGCCCTGGATCAAGTACCACGAAGTTGCCGATGGGGGCCATCTGTTGTTTCACGAACCCGGCTTATGTGAAGCCGCGTTTAGGGAGCTTTTGCTTGGAGAAGAACCATCCTTTTGAGCATTGACGGACTGCAAACTCATTCGCATTGCTGCAATGTCTGCCTTTTTTTTTTTTCTTGTTTCATGTTCGACAAGACTCGATGGCTCAAATTCGTGCACGGGAACACAGCGAACCGCCAAAGCTGCGGCTCGACTCTGAGAACCTGCTCGATGTGAAAGCTTTCTCATGCTTGACCCGTGTCGTTTTGTTCTGAGAATGCCCCATCTCCTCTGTCACCTTACTGAGTGTTATGTTCTGCTGCAAGTTATAAACGATAAATCACCAGCTATGAGACTTACTTAGTTTCCAATCTTTCCTATATACCGTAGGAGCTTTCCTCAGAGCTCGATTTGAAAAAGTCAGTGGCCCATCATCTGCCATTGGCTTATTGACTTGCTTTCGATGTCTGGCGTGCTGAATGACATCTCTCTCATTTATAAGTCAAGGAACTCATTCTTATCCCCTTCCTCCGTCCCCTTTTATAATGCAAAGGGATAACGGCATGAACAGTTTCTAAACTTTGACCCAATATATAATTTGGTCCTTGAATTTTTAATTTATTCACTATAATCCATAAACTTTAACCTAATATTCAATGTGGTCCTTAAACCTGAACTATATGAAAATGTTCAATGTAATCCTTAGCCTTGAATTAATGGAAGGACTACATTGCATATTTTCATATAGTTCAGAGACTAAATTGAACATGTACCAAAAGTTTGGGAATGACATTAAACAAACTAAAAGTTTAATTAGGAACCACTTTGTACATTGAGTTAAAGTTCAGGAAATACGCTGAACAAACTAAAAGGTCAGGGACCGCATTGCACATCGGGCCAATGTTAAGTGATTGTTCGCGTCACTTTCTCTAATGCAAACTTCTCCTTTTCGGAAGCCATCGAAGTGAAACACCTCAGCATGCCATTTCTTAGACTATCCAAGTTTCAGACACACAGGCATGGCTGATAGCTACTTAGATTACACTTTGTACTGCAATACTTTTCCTTATTATCGTGCGAACTTCTCGTTCCTTGTCACTTGGTAGCCTCAAATTTGCCAATAAACAATCAAACCCGCCTCATTTCCCGCTGCTTTTCCTTTTTATATCTAATTATAGTTTCCCTTTTGCCAATGTGATATAATGGGAAATGGAAGGATGGTCTTGTACGAAATACAGCCACAGGAAGGCACAGGAGGAGCTGCAAATGCACGTTGCCATCACAAGTACATAAGCCAGCGCTGTCCAGCAAGAAACTACAAAGAATATTCCCCCCCTTCCCTTCCCCTCCCCCAGGTCTTTCACGGCATAATAAGCCCAGTAGAAACACCAGATGGGGTCATGTGGTGGGGACAAACCCAACTTAGAATTGAACTTTAGATTATATTTTTTTAATCTTATTTTATTTTATTGCTAATCCAATTATTACCTCCACGAAAAAAATTTAATTACTTGTCGTGTTGAGGTTAGCAAGCAGGAAGAAATTTTGTTTGTGTTGTTATTTACAAGGGAAAAGGATTTTGTTCTTTTAATCCTCACTCCTCCCATTCAGCAGCACTTCCAGCAACTAGTTTTCCTTCCTTTTAGGTTAGAAGCTTTGCTAGGCAACTGAAATTGGTGTCTTTGATCAAGGATGATTGGCGTTTCTAGAACAAAGTTCCGAGTCAAATACGGGATGGTATGTCGCGCGACATTTGTAGTACCGTGCGACATGTGCCGATGTGATGTTGCCGAATTTATAATCGCGGTCCCCTGTTTATTTGCAATCGGTACTTAGAAGTTAAGAATAGTTAGAAACGAGGGGCAAATGTCAACCGATTGTTTTCTGGTTAGGGGGGCCACTTACATTTTGTTATGTGCCCACTACCCTTGTTTTTGTAGTTGATATGATGTCTGATGTATGATCATGGCATTAACACAAGCGAAAGGACACCGCGAGTGTCATGACTTTCGTGCATCACTCACATTTACTTTCGTTCCATGACTTTTCAATCAATTACTTGAGTACCCTAACTTTTCAACAGATTACTCGAGCGTCGTAATTCTTGAAAAGTGCATTCAATGCAAGTGCCGTATATTATGATACCACGTCATATTTCCCGACAGTCCGGCATTCAATTGACCGGTCGAAAAATCACGGCACCAAAATGAACGTATTTTTGAAAGTCAAGGCTATTCGAGTGATCGATAAAAAAGCTATAGCACTAAAGAGAGGTCGCTCGAGAGTAACGACGCTCACAACATGCATTTCCCACATTAATGATTTAATATGTATCTAGAGGTGTTGTTAATGTGTCTTTTCTTCAGGTTGGACGGTCTGAACAATGCTGTTCACATAAAGTAGGTTGTTCTTTTTGACCAAAACCTTAAGAAAATCAGTAAAGAAACACAAACGGATAAAAGGAAATCTTGGGTGGGGTAAAACCTGAAAGCAGGCACAAATTGTAGGCCGCGGATCATTTTTCTGCCAAAACATTGGCTACGAATTTGTTACCTTTTCGACCAAAATATAAAGGGTTAATATAACAAAAAAATCTTCAATTAGTATATTTATGATAAATTTATCCCGGATTAAGTTTTTGATCACCAAAAATCCTAAATTGATACACCCATGATAATTTTACCCCAAATTAATTTTTTGATCATAAAAAACCTCAAACTGGTACATTTGTGATAAATTTACCATTTATTAAATTGGATTAATATCACGGAAAATCACGAATTGGTAAACATGTGATAAACATAGGGGCAAAACCCAAGACTGGTACATCTATCAACTGCCACGTGTCATCCAACTCGACAATTTGACGGTAAAATTTAACGGAAACTATGCGAAGGGTAAATTTGTCACAGGTGTACCGGTCTGGGGTTTTTGGTGGTAAAAAAATTAGTTTCGGTTAAAATTGTCACAGTTGTACCAGTTTCGATTTTTTTGTGATATTAACCCAAAAATTAAATAAAATTTGTTACCTTAAAAAAAATAAAAAATAAAGAGGCAGATGCCTTAAAGCCTAAGTAATAGGGAGAAAAAAGTATTATTTTGTCCAGTTGCTAAATTAGAGTCCGAGGCGGTCTCAATTATTATATTCGCGAAAAAGATATATTTCAATCGTGATTTTTCTATACCAAATTCACAGGATTTTAGGGTGCCAATTGAGAAGATCCAGCGTCCTTCAATTTCAACGAGATTGAAAATAAACCTAACACGTTTGACCAAAAAAGAAAAGCCCGACATGATTTTCTGGTATCATGGCAACTCAGCTGGGTTTGCTATTTTGAAAATTAGTGGTGCTTCCTGAAAAGTGACGCACGTTTTCGGCGAAAAGAGAAAGAGAAAGAGAAAGAAAAAGAAAAAGAAAAAAAACAATAAAAAAGCAAAAATATACCCTCGAACGAAAATGGCCCCGACCTCGGGCCATTATTTAAGACTAAGTTGGCAACTCTCGCTTCAGATCCTTATTCAAGACAATGTTCGTTTTAGACCTTTTTTCGAGAAAAAAGAAACGTTTGAAATCGTTATTTGAAATTTTCTCGAGATATTATAAAAAGATATGCGTAGTTTTATCAATTTATTTGAACTTGTCTAGTTTGAGACATGGGCAGTTTTCTTTTTGGGTTACTATCACGAAAAAATTCAAAATTATACGCATGTGACAAATTAACAAAAACTAATTTTTTGTTCACTAAAACCCCCCAGTTGATACATCTGCGATAAATTTACCTCAAACTAATTTTTTGACCACAAAAAATAAAAAAACTAGTACACTTGTGATGAATTTACCTCAATTAGTTCCCGCTAAATTTGATTAATACAACGTAAATCAGAAACCGGTAACAAACGGAGGGTAAAATCCTAAATTTGTACCATCCAACTCAATAATTTGATCATACAATTTAATAGAAATTAACAGAAAATAAAGTCATCATAGTGCATCGGTTAAGAGTTTTGGTTATAGATGCATCACACATTTGTTTTTTGGTCAAGAGAATTTTCCGAGGTTAAAGCGTCGTGAGATCACACAGGGTAACGGTCAGAAAGAGAGGACACGACAGGCAGCCGCATCAGAGGTCGCTCCTTTAATGGTTTGTTTTTTTTTCCCTGAAGGGACCGCGTGGCGTGGGGGGCGAGAACAGGGATCGGGACGAACCTTCATAAAGAATATCCCACACCACCGCAGGAGCTCCAGGCGGAGCGCGACACCCTTTTCCTCCACTCGTCTTCTCCGCGCATCATGGGCTCGCCGCGAAATCCCTCCTCCTCCTCCTCCTCCTCCTCCTCCTCCTCCCCTCCGCCTCCTCCGCCGCCGCACACATGTACCTGAGGAGGAAGCTCTCCCAACTCGTGCAGAGAAGATCCAAGATTCACCCGCCAGAAGAAGGCCCTCTTCCACCACCACCACCAACCCCATCGAACAAGAACAAGAACAAGAACAAGAATAAGAACACCCACCAGATCGTACCCTTTTCTTCTCCTCCTCCTTCGAGGATCCGGACAGAGCCCCAGATCCCCCACGGCGACGGATTCGAGAACCCACGAAGGTTTGACCGGGAATCGTCAGGTGAGCCCCCCTCCCGCAGCTCGATTCTCGGATCACGCCCCCTTTTCTTGATTTTTCTTTCTGGGGGATATCCATTTTGTGTAAAGGCAAGAAAAGGGTTGAAAAAGGAAGGGGCGGGGTGGTGGGTTGACCGGGCTTTTGATTCTCTTTCTTTGCTCTCTCTCTCTTTCTTGTTGGTTCTGTTTCTCGTGCTCTTCTTGTTCCGGGGACAGCGGGCGTGCTTGGCTTGTTGCTCGGGATCTTTCTTGTGCGTATGGGGATGGAATCAAGCACCGTGCAAGCCCCGCCCACGGAGACGATGGAGGAGAGCACCGAATTGGAGGAGTACCCGCCCGTGACCTCTTCCAGGATCAAGCTGAGGGATGGGAGGTTCCTGGCCTACACCGAGAGGGGTGTCCCCAAGAGCAGATCCAATTACAAGGTCGTCATCGTCCACGGATTCGGCAGCTCCAAGGAGATGAATTTCCCCGTGTCCCGAGTACGCGCCTATTCCAATCCGTTTCTGATTGATCCTTTTTTTTAAGTTAGTTTGGAATGATCTTGAATGTTGAAACTGTTGGTCGGGGGTGAGCAAGGAGTTAGCGCGATCGTGAATATTTTGGGTGGAAAAAAGTTTGAAACTTTGTGTTCAGGGGCCGCTCGTTCGCACTTCGAATTGCACGTAGCAGATCGTAGCGAAAAAGGGTATTCCGTGGGTAATGGGATTTATGTAGATCCTCATCGTTAAGAATGGGGGCGGTGTTGAGATCTGCGCATATGAGGCTGTTATGGTTGATAGAGATTGCGAATGAAGGGCACGGTATGGATGATCCAATAGCGATTGGACTTCATCCAGCTTTTCCCTTTCTGCTGCTAATACTATTTTTGCTAAAGAAGTAGGAAATTATATCTCTTTTGATTTCTGTAGCAAGAGGAATGAGCTGTTAAGAATGGTTGTTCAAAATGGTGAACCATGTATTAAAGGTTTGATGACCAAGGCAATGACTTAACTGAGGCTGGAGTAATCATTAGTCTTGTAATTGGCAGTCACCGGTAGAAAATACTCAAGAGACTGTTAAGAAGAGAATAGTCCATTCACATGTTTATTACGCCCAAATTCCTAATCTTCAGTCCTGGTTTTGCAGGAACTCATAGAAAAGTTGGGCATATATATAGTTCTTTACGATCGAGCTGGTTATGGCGACAGCGACATGAACTCCAAGCGTACGGTAAAGAGTGAAGCCCTTGATATCCAAGAACTTGCTGAGCGGTTGCAATTGGGGTCCAAATTTTATGTGATTGGTGTCTCAATGGGATCATATCCCACATGGAGTTGCCTCAAGTACATACCGGACAGGTATCGCCATTCTTGCTGATACTCAAAATTCGCATACCTTGGTTGCACACTTTTTATTCTCGGATGAATCATGCTTTGTGTCACTTAACCCCATGAAATTTTTTTAGGATATTGTCTGTTCTTACCGAAAGGTTTTTCCTGCAGGTTAGCTGGTGTGGCCTTAGTGGTCCCAACAGTCAACTATCGTTGGCCTTCTCTTCCTGAGAGTCTGACGAAGCCAGACTACAGAAAGAAGCTTATCCGGTGGTCACTCCGGATCGCAAGCCATGCCCCTGGATTGCTTCAGTGGTGGGTGACTCAAAAATGGCATCCTTCAGAAGGAGACCCAACCCTTTTCAACCAAAGAGACATCGAAGTCCTGAAGACGACGCCAGGCTTCCCCATGTTCACCCCGGTAACTATCAACTTACCTGCACATGATGTGATACAAAAGCTTACGTTGTCAATCATAGGAATTTTCCTAGGTTACTAACATACTTGGAGATGACCTTTTTGCAAGTTTTTGACAATGTCAATGTATTTTCTTGCTGACAGGAAAATTTACGGCGACGAAGAGTATTTGAAACTCTCAGAAGTGACTTTAAAGTGGGTTTTGGCAAATGGGAATTTGACCCGATGGATCTGAGCGATCCATTTCCCAAAGGCGCAAGCTCTGTACATATTTGGCAAGGGCATGAAGATAAGGTTGTACCTTTTCAGCTTCAAAGATTTGTTTCGGGTAAGCTGCCCTGGATAAAGTATCACGAAATTCCTGATGGAGGGCATTTGCTTGTGCATTACAATGGCGTATGTGATGCCATTGTAAAGGCTCTTTTGATTGGAGAGGAACCGGTTTCATGACAAGGTGGTCATGTTTGTACATTATTCATGACACCAACAAACCTCTGTGATTCAAATTGTTCATTTGGTAAAGTAAATTAATTGCAGAATGTCTTGCCAGTCATTGTTTACTAGATATAGTTTGTGATTAACGGGGTTCTGACCTGCATGGGGCTAATTTACAGTTTCTCTCCCTGTTATCTTTCCGTCGTTAGACAGCAGACTCGCCCCTTCTTGTAAGTACTGGCTGGACACACTTAACTATGGTCGTTCCATATTCTGAAGTTTGAACGCGTTTTGCTCTGATACGTATCCATAAACACATAGGAAATGCTATGGTACTGTACATGTTATCGTTTACTATTGGTCAAGTGATCAGTAAGAGAAGATGACTCTGCACTGAGTGATTTAGGTAGAGACTTAGTTTGAAAGTACAAGCAAAGGCAGAGTGATAACAGAAAATGCACGAGTCATGCCACCTCTGCACAACTAGAAAAGTTATGCCGATGAAAATCGTTTGACCACCCAAAATTTCCTACTGCAGCAGAAGCTGCTTCAACTGGAGGACATTTCCTCTCTATTACTGTTGTAAGTACTAAAATGAGGCGACAGAATGAACTAAAGCATTGTAACGCAACTACTGAGTCAAATCACATCAGCTTCCACCAGAAAAACCGACCGAAAAGATCAAAATAGGGAAAAGAAAACTGCCCAGTAGTCCTACTGAACGAGCCTTAGCAGAGAGCAAGTCAACAGAATCCTCATATCTAATCTGACCTATGAGATCAAAATTCCTGAGTTATCATCTAGATCTAACGGAGATGCTTGATAAGCCACCCAGATTTCAACCAAATTACCAATGTCAGTACACATTTTGTAAGGGAAAATTACCAAAAAATTTATAAACCTATTGCAATTGTTTCAATTCAGTTCTAAACTTTTTTTTTGTCAATTCAGTCCTAAACCTTTTGCAATTTTGCCAATTCAGTCCATCCGGTCACTTTTGGCCGGCAGACGCTGACATGGACGCCGGCCGGCTGACGTGTCATTATTTTAATATTTTATTTTTAATTTTTTTCGATTTTTTTTCCTTTCTCTTTTTTTTTCCTCTCCTTCTTCCCCTTGGCCGGCCAGGGGGTGGCTTGCTAGCGAGGTGACCTCGCCGGCCACTGAGGAGGCTCGCCTAGCTCCAGCGAGGGCCAGCGAGGGCGGAGGTCGGCAAGGCTGGGTGAGCTCTGCCCTCGCCGCTGCTGGGCAAGCTCGACCTCGCCCAGATCTGGCGAGGTCGAGCTTCGCCATGGCTGTGGGCAACGTCGAGCTCGCCCAGCCATGACGAGCTCCGCCCTCGCCTTGCCCAGCGACGGCAAGGCTCGCCCTCGCTAGTATTGGCGAGGGCGAGCCTCCCCAGTGGCCGGCGAGCTAGCCCTAGCGCTTGGCTCGTCCGGCCACCGGGGGAAGAAGGAAAGGCAAAAAAAAAAATAAAGAAACGAAAAAAATAAAAAAAATTTCGAGCTCCGCCATCGCCGGCCCTCGCCGTCGCACAGTCATGGCGAGACTTGACTTCGCCAAATCTGGGCGAGGTCGAGCTCGCTCAGCGGCGGCAAGGGTGAGCCTCGATGTCGCACAGCCATGACGGGGCTCGACTTTGCCAGATCTGGGCGAGCTCGAGCTCGCCCAGTGGCGGCAAGGGCGAGCCTCGCCGTTGCACAACCATGGCGAGGCTCGACTTCGCCAGATCTAGGCAAGGTCAAGCTCGCCCAGCGGCGGCGAGGGCAGCTCACCTAGCCATGGTGAGCTTCGCCCTCGCCAGAGCTGGGTGAGGCTCGCCCTCGCCGGCGAGCCTCTCCCTGGTCGGAAAGAAAAAAATAAAAAAAAGGAAGGAAAAAAAATTCAAAAAAATTTAAAAATAATATTAAAATAATACCACATCAGGATGCCGGGGCCGGCCAACGTCCACGTCAGCGACGGTCAGTCAAAAGTAGCCGGATGTACTAAATTGGCAAAAAAATATATTTAGGATTGAATTGACACAATTGCAATAGATTTATGATTTTTTTGGTAATTTTTCCCATTTTATAATAGCAGAAACAGCAAACCCAGCTAAGGCGTTCAGACCATCGAGTGGCATCATGTATTCAAATAACTTAAAAGGCAGTTTCTCCATAAAAAACTCAAACGATGCGAAAGCATCTTCCCAGTACATTGGCCTCGCTGCAGGTGTCATTCATCTTTGCACAATGTGCGCTCGTTAAAGGTGGTCGGTCATTTTCAATCATGTTCTCGAAGGCAAATGCGGATGAAAGCATAGTCCGCGGACTACAGGACGGATGCAAAGCATCGATTATCACGGGGTGACCAGTATGGATATATCTGGACTAAGGGTGTCAATGGTTCGGTTCGGTTTGGGTGTCTAGGAAAATCGAACCGAACCGAACCGTTTAGACGTGTGCTTGATCCGAATCGAAACACCACACGAACCGAATATGATCCGAACCGAAAACGCGGTTCGGTTCGGATCAGTTCGGTTCGGTTTTCGGTTTTTCTTTTTTATCTTTTTTTGCACTTCTTCCCTTACTCCTCCTCGTCTTCTTCTTCCGCTCTCTCTCTTCCCTTCTCTGTGAGACTGCTTCTTCTCTCTTCTTCCCGTCAAGAAGCAGGTCAATTGATGACCCACCACCGAAAGGCCCCACCAGATCACCGGAGTCGGCCATGGACACTCGCCGGAGACCGAACTTCCGGCGACTGAACCCGCTCTAACAACAAAAAATCGAGGACCGGGACTCGGACGATCGACCCGTTTGGTTAATGGCGGCCATTACAAACACCTCGGAGCCGCCGTCGCCGGCCCAGGTGGACTCGGTCTCGATGTCGGCATCGGCCGACGAGCTGACGGTCGAGGCCGTGAACAAGTGCTACGAGGGGCTTGTCATGCTACGGCCAAAGGCCGTCAAGGGGAAGGGCGCGTGGTATTGGGCGCACCTCGAGCCCATGCTCGTCCACAACGCCGACACCGGCCTCGCCAAGGCCGTGAAGCTCCGGCACTCCCTCTACGAGGCCGTCTTCTCCGTCTCCAACCCGTCGCGGACCGCCTCCGAGCACCTCAAGCGCGGCACCTGGCCCAACTTCAAGAAGCCAGAGAGAAAAATGTGTTTCGTCACTTTTTGGAAGATGATAATGATGTGAGGGAAGAGGAAGAGAGAGAATAAAGCAGGAAAGAGAGAGAGAGAGAGAGAGAGAGGAGAGCAGTGAGAGTGCGAAGACAGAGGAAGAGAGAGAATAAAGTAAAAAAGTGAAAGAGAGAGAGAGAGAAAAGTGAGTGAGAGGTGAGCAGTGGTAAACAGTGAGATTGAGGAGAGAGAGAGAGAGTGCGAAGGGAAGAAAAACACGCTAAAAAATCGAAATTCGAACCAATTTGAACCGAACCGAACCGTTATGTTAACCAAATTCATTTATTTATTATCCGAACCGAAACCGAACTGAATCGAAAATGCATGAATTTTCAATTCGATTTGATTTGGTTTGTGTCTCGATTCGATTTTTCGGTTCGGTTCCGATACTCCCTAATCTGGACCATACTGATCCGTCTGTGGAAGCACAAAAAGGAATGTGATCATGTGAGGTCTCTTCTTCACAAAAATGAGCACAAGAATGCTACAAGGAAGCTTTCATTCCTTTGGACGTAACTTTCGATTGATCAGATAGTGAGGGTCCCTCTTTTCCAGTCTGGGTTTATTTTTCTCTTGCTTTTAGGTAAGTTTTGTACCTTTTCTCTGGAAGAGGGTTGTTCCTCAACAAAGTACACTGTCGAGGGGATCATTCATTTCGGTGAGGATCCCATCCGAGTTTCTTTGATAAGAGAGGGTGAAGCTCTTTGGGATTGACCAATGCGATGGACTCCTGACGTCTTGCATATTGAAGAACGCACGCCTTATCCACCGGATCATAGGATCGAGTCTTATGATCCACAAGATAAAGATTTGCCCTTTTCTTTCCTCCACAAGATATTACTAAGAAGTTAGAAATTAACCCTGCCTAGTTGGTTGGGTCGTCGGAGCTCGGTTCCGTGCAAAAAAGATATAACTAGATGGAAATTCGCTGAAGTTAAATCCTTGTTAGATCGAGAATATTGTACTAAGGGTGTTTTTTGAACAATAACGAAAACAAAAAAACTATGCGGATCGAGTTGAATGGAAAAATGATATAACTAGATGGAAATTCAGTGAAATTCAATCGTAGTTAGATCTTGAATATTGTACCAATGGTGTTTTTTTGAACAAGAACAAAATAAAATAAAAGTAATGCGGTTAGAATCGAACGAAAAATGCAGGTTCGATTCTCGCTATCCGTCCATGTTATAGTAACGTAGTTAATGCTAAAGGATTGATATAATTAACAGTGATAATATAGCGAATGGTTTTGTCCCAAAAGAAAAAAAATGGTGAAAATTAATTACTTGTTGATAGTTACCAAAGTCAAACTCATGTGCGTTTGGTTTGGCTTTGGAGAAATTTTTTTGAGAAAATGCAAAGGTACGGGATCTTTCAAAATACAAGTAGTGTTTGGTAAAGTAAAATTTAAAAATACTTGGGAAGTAATTTTGACTTAAATGCTTTTTGAAAAAAACCATATTTTGTAAAGGATTTTTATTAATATTTTTTTTTTAAAAATCTTAAACTATTTGCCGGCGAAGCTCAGCCGTTGACGAGCCAAATTGACCACCGCCCAACCTGAGGTGGCGCGACCCCAGGCAACCTTAGGTGAGCTGTTTGTTGGTGGCTAAGGCTTTCATCGGTAACGTTAGGGTTTTCGAAGATATTTCCGTAATTATGAAAGTATATCAAGGTTAAATTTGAAAAAAAAAAGTCTATCTACATTTCGGAAAATGCAACATTCCAAAACACTTCCGGACTTGCCTCGGACTAAAAGTCTTTAGAGATCTTTGAAAACGAATTGCATTTCCCAAGAACTCTCCAAAATTTTTTTTTTCTCAAACACCATTTGCATTTGTTCAATGGATTTTGAGGCCCTAATGCACCCATAGAAATGTGGTGACAAGGCGATTTGAACCCATGAACTCAAGGCTACGAGTATCGCGGGCTACCAACCAAGGACACGAACTCAATCGATCCTTGGCGTTTGAAGGGTGTGTCCCACGTGCCTTCCGGCAGCCCGAGCCGTGCCCGCCGTGGCTCTTGGATTACAAAAACAAGTCAAGCAATGCAAACAAAAAAAAATGGAAATGATTTGAGGAGCGGCGAAATCCTAGACTTTCGTTAGGAGGTTTAGCGCAATCGAAGAGGGGAGGGGGAGGAAAATTCTATTTTAAACACGAGATTTTCTTTGCTCGTTTTTTAATTTACGCAAACATTTCGAGACCCTTGCGAAATAAATCATAATAAAAAGAATTTATTTTTGGGAAAAGTCAAATTCTCAAAAAAGGGTTCAAAGTGAACATAGTGTCAAATAAAGGCCTAAAGTGCCCAATTAGTCTTAAGGATCCGAAGTGCCTAAAAAGTCTCAAATAAGGACCTGGGTCGCCGGCCGGCAAAAATTTTATTGTTCTGGCACCGGAACAGTAACTTTTTAATTTTTTTAAAATTTTCTTTCTGTTTTTTTTCTTTTCCTTTTCTTTTTTTTTCTTTTCTTCCTCCGCCGGCCATAGCCGGGGCTGGCTGAGGTCGCCGGCATCAGGCGAGGCCGCCCTCGCCTAGGCTGGGCGCCGGCCGCTGGCGAGGCTTGACCTTGGCCGACGCCGGCGAGGTCGAGCCCTCGCTAGAATTGGCCAGGCTCGACCTCGCCGTTGCTGGGCGAGGTTGAGCCTCGCCAGTTGCCGGCGAGGTCGAGCCCTCGCCGGGCAATTGGCGAGGCCGACCTCGCCCGGCCCGGGCGAGGCCGCCCTCGCCGGCGTCGGGTGAGGCCGCCCTCGCACAGGGGCGGACGAGGTCGGCCTCGCCCGGTTGCGGCGAGGCCGGCCTCGCCCTGCAAGGCCCGGCCTCGCCGAGATCGAGGCGAGGCTCGACCTCGCACTCGCACGGCAAGGCCGGCCTCGCCGGATTAGGCGAGGCTCGATAACGCCGGTGTCGGGCGAGGCCGGCCTTGCCGTTGCGGGCGAGGTCGAGCCTCGCCTGATCTGCGAGGCCGGCCTTCTGCGTGCGAGCGAGTCGGCCTCGCCGGTTGCCGGCGAGGCTCGACCTCGGCGGCCTCGCCGGCGCCGGCGAGGTCGAGCCCTCGCCGGGCGGCCGGGCTCAACCTCGCCCGGCAACGGCGAGGTCGAGCCTCGCCGGTTCCCGAGCGGGCTCGACCTCGCGGCGTCGGCGAGGCCGGCGAGGTCGAGCCCTCGCCGGCAACCGCGAGGCCAACCTCGCCCGGCCCGGCGAGGCCGCCCTCGCTCGGCCTCGCCGGTTGCCCGCGAGGCCGGCCTCGCCTGCAACGGCAAGGCCGGCCTCGCCAGATCAGGCGAGGCTCGACCTCGCCTGCAACGGCAAGGCCGGCCTCGCCCGACACCGGCGTTATCGAGCCTCGCCAGCGGCCGGCATGGCCGACCTCGCCCGGCCCAGGCGAGGGCAACCCTCGCCCGACACCGGCGAGGGCGGCCTCGCCTAAGGCCGGCGACCTCCGCCGACCCTCGGCTATGGCCGGCGGAGGAAGAAAAGAAAAAAAAAAAGAAAAGGAAAAGGAAAAGAAAAAAACAGAAAGAAAATAATAAAAAAAATTAAAAAGTAACTGTTCCGGTACCGGAACAGTAACATTTTGTCGGCCGGCAGGTATTTTGGCCGGCCGGCGACCCAGGTCCTTATTTGAGACTTTTTGGGCACTTCAGATCCTTATTTGAGATTGATTGGGCACTTCAGGCTCTTATTTGACACAATGTTCACTTTGGATCCTTTTTTGAGAATTTGACTCTACTTGGGTTTCTTAATTGAAATTTTCCCCTTATTTTTTGGGTCAAATATACTAAAAAAGAAGGTTTTTTTTTTATTATCATGTTAACTTCTTTTTATAATAAAAAAAGAAGCTGACCGGTCTTCAATGCACAACAATATTTCCATCGTGGCGGATTTATTAAAATATAATATTCCTTTGACTGCTATTCTCTCTCTCCTTTATTTTATTTACCCGGAGAAAATGTACAGCGACGGCTTCCGGATTCGTGTCAACGCGCAGCATTCCCCGCGAGAGAAAGAGAAAAGCCGCCAGCAGCAGCAGCGGCAGCCCGGAAGCTCGATCGGCGAGGCGGCGGATTCACCTACCCGCGAACCCGGAGTCCGATTCGGCGGCCCCCCCGCCCCCGGCGACGGCCTCCGATCGCCGCCGCCTCCTCCTCCTCGACCTCGGCCCTCCTCCGCCGCCGCCGGGGTTCCTCCGTTTCTCCCCGCAGGTATTTCCCGCCATTCTGGTCCGCGAAACCTAAAAGCGTTTCTCTCTCTGTCTCTGTCTTCTTGTTCCCTCCACCGAGGGTTTGAGCGCATTTCGGGCGTCCGATTCTTCTCGTTCGGGGAAAGAGCTTCGCTTATTCTTTTGTCGCTTAATTTGTTCGGCGGCTGAGCAGAGTTCGGGTGATTGGGATGAAGTTCGGATAAATTTAGGAATTTTTTGGGTTCGATTTGATTTTTTTTGGTGGAGGCATTGTGAATGTAGCGAGTTCGTTCCTGCGATTGATCGAACAGGGCTTGTTGTTGGAGTGGCGGCGGCTGGGTGAGATCGCCTGCGGACGAACCGTCGTCGCTCATTCGCGGCTTCTTGTTGCGTTGTGCTGCGATTGCGTGTTGGTAGAGTCCCCGTAAGCAGTATCTGCTTACCTCGCTCCGATGAGAACTTGTGGGTAGTTCTGGGCACTGCGATTTTTTCTTTTTTAAGAATGAACGACCTCTTATGACCTTGAAAAGATTATAAATTTGCTGGGGGTTTTTATAAATTCGAAAAATTTTGGGGGTTGGTAACCCAAGATGGTGACTAAACTGAGAAGTGATGCCCAGAACCTCCTTGTTACAAAAAAAAGAAAGTGCCTCTCCTCGTTGCTTAAAGAGGGAAATTGTTCATGGACTAGGCAAAGCTAATTGTTCTCTGTCCAAAATTGAAAAAACTAAGCTAATTGTTCTGAGGAGCATCGGTAGAGTCTACCTTCCTATTCTTTGCCCTGTCCTCCTGAAGGCATTTTATAGCCTTATCCTAGCTTTCTCGTCTAAAATTGGGGCAATGCTGATAATTTTGGTCATTTTTCTTGTACAAGTGGTTTTTTATTTTTCTGATGTACGAGTGGCATATGATTATCTTAACAGCTTTTTGGGGATCTGGAAATGCCAGGGAATTAAGAGACTCAAGTAGAATCTGAATTCGGCAAGGATATGTATAATGATGTGACGAGTTAAGCAGCTGTTTGACAGGCAGTAAGTGCACTATGTTAGGTCCTGGCAATAATTCTGGCAAGGGCAGTAATACATCTCCATTGGAAGTGCCTCCCTTGCCCCAATGTTTGTCACTGGAGCCAATTACGTTAGGCAATCAGAAACATGTGCGATCGGGAGAGCTCAGGAGGGTCCTTGCTTTACCTCTTGGCAGTACATCAGAGGGGCATTCATTCGGAGTGAACCAGCCTAAGCCTTCTGCTGTCATGGCAAATAAGGAGCTAAAGCATATCAAAGAAAGTGTTAAAGATGCCTCGAGAAAAGCAGAGTAATGGTTCTTTCACGTCCTGCAGAGATCTTGTTTATTGCCCTATTTCTCATTCAGGTTATTCTGTGTAGTGGGAACTCTATTTAAATGACTGGCTTGCACTGTTTCGAGAAAGGGGCAATTTGGAAATTGGTGGGCAAATGGGTCTTAATTTACTTCAGTGCATACTATGGCGGTTAGGGAATGTGGTGTAGCCATCCATGAGTCCTAGCAATTCTTGCAAATAGCCCATGAATTTGAGCCAAAGACATGTTGTAGAGGTGCTCGGCTTGGTTTCGTGGCAGTTATGGGTTGAACCACTCTGAAGATGTTTGTGACATTAACTGAATATTTGTGAGGATGTCTGTTTATTACCCTATGATGGTTGGATAAAGCCTTTTGAAATCTGTTTCTTTTAATGCTTTACTCCAAGTTTCTAGAGTGTTTTATCTATTTATATTAAAAATCAAATCTAGGTTCACTGGTTGTCATCGTCCAAATCACTACGTGTACATTGAATATTTGATATCTCTTTATCAGGGACAGAGCAAAGATGTTCCAGGAGTCCATCTCTAAGCTGGACAAGTACATGGAAAACCTGAGCTCAAAGAAGCGACAAAGGACTGATATCTTATCCGTGGAGAGGTCTGGGGTTGACCTGGAAAAGGTGAAAAGTCAATTTCGTGGAAGCCCTCGTGACATGGTCAATGCAAGGCTGGAGCAGAGGTCTAAAAATGTTGGATTGGTTAAGCGTGTCCGTACTTCAGTGGCAGATATGCGGGTTTGTATCTGAGGCTTGTTTCCATTTCTGGTCCATAAAGAGTCAGTTCTTTTGGAAATTTTTATCCCCTACTTTTGTTTTATGTTTTCTAAGATATTGCTTGGTTTTAGATTCCCTCATAAGGAGATTGTCAGTCATGCTTTCATCTTCTGCTCAATTTTATTTGGTTTTCCTTGGATGTATTTCTGTGTGAGGTATATTTTCTAGTTTTTTTCCTTTGAAGGGACAACCTGTAAGATCTCCTGCTTAGAATCTGTATCCCTCAGATACTTATGCACTGCTTAGGTGTAGATAAATTGAGAGTTTTTGCATCCGTTGGTTCAAATGTTGTTATTGTAGAGATTTCAGTTCACTAAATTGTTGGAAAACCTGAAGATTGCATATAATTGCTGAAGCGATTTGACCTATGAATTCATGAAAAAGGGTCCAAAGAAAGGCATGAACTAAATGACAGCCTGTTGTTGATGCTAAATAAAATTGCTCAACTCAAGCTTGATACAAAGTGTGTTATATAATGTGTAAAACTTGCAATGCTGTCGTGTAGTGACGTGCATATTAACACACTCTAGTCCTTAAACATGAATTGCCCCCACCGATGAAATATTTATATGCCAACTTGCACTGTTTTTGATAGATTTCTGTGATGAGTCCTCATCATAATTGCCTTGTCTCGTGAACTGCTCGTGTATTTTTTTGGCACTGCTCATGATAGTTGTTATTTAAAGATCTGTTTATGATGCAGTACCTACTTCTGAGAGATCAACTCAATATTTTCCATTGCATACTAATTTTGTTCCGCTCTTCATGTTATTAGGCTGATACCAAGTCCATTTCTGCCTCAAGGCAGCCGGCACTGGTGGAAAGAAATGAAGAAAAGGTCCAGGTTGGTAATGGTCTTTTAGTTCGAAGTGAAGAAAAGATCCGCCGGGTGGCTGCTGCAGGTGAGAGTTGGGAAAGGAAAATTAAGAGGAAGCGATCTGTAAGTGCTGTAGGCAACAGAACTCTACATGGTGATGGAGATCCAAAGCAAGTTATGCAGTCTAAACTGCCTGCTGATTCCAAGTTGCGACCTGGTGATGGTCCCCCTTTCAGGTAATTTTACATGTCTATCATGTTGATGTGAATATCTGCATTATTAGAAGACTGTCGTGTAATTTATGTCTGATTGAGCTTTAGAGTCAGCTCTTTTTTCTAGTTGATTGTGGACATTTTGATCTCATTAGGGATCAGATATTCTTTCATTTTTTCTTGTTTCCCTCCTTCGACTCAACTGTTTTATGCACTCTAAAATTCTCTTGTATTTGCATGTCCCATATGCAGAATTTCTCTATTGGTTATTGCGAAAGTAATTGAATGAGCTGCTGGGATGGGTAATAAATGATATGGTTGATTTGTTTCTTTGTTGGAAAAATATCTTTGTTTTGCGGGTCACAATTGGTTCTCTCTTTTTCCAATATGGCTGACGAATCTTACCGTGTACAACGTTGGTGTCTCTAACCATTATTAGAGTCTGGTTCCCAGGCACCATTCAATTAACTGCCGCTAAGGAACCATCAATTTAGAAGGCAAGGTATCAAGATTTTGAGATACCTTCCTTATTGAAGTTTTCCGTGATTGATAGCTGCCCTTTAACCAACGTTATTGATAGCTGTCGTATACACGTGGCTTGTGATATTCACCCAAATGACATTTGAATGGTAATAAAATGAATTAGTTGCTCACTGTTCTGACTCTAATATTGAAAATGGTTCATGAGGCTAGGGCAAATCGAACACGAGTGCATAAGAAAGGTGGTTGCACAAGAAAAGGAGCGTCAAGGAAGCCATTACAGCCTTTTCAGATTGCATTATTTGCCATTCAGCATAACAACTGTAAAATGTTAAAGAAAAAATCGTGTGTTAGATGATTAATAGCTGAGAAAAATCTCCTGTACCTGAGTCACTTCATTTGTTCTTTTCTACTCAAAATCTCTCAAAATCTCTCTCTCTCTCTCTCTCTCTCTCTCTCTCTCTCTCTCTCTCTCTCTCTCTCAATTTTCTTGTTACTACAGGTCAAAAACTTCTAATGGTGCGGGCGGAACAAACAAGTTGATCAGCCGGGTTGAGTCTCCTGGTTCAAATGCCTGCGCAGTTCTCAAGAATGAGCTGGAGATAGCCCCTTCACCAAGGGATGGTACTGATTTGTTTGAGCAGAGGGTTTTACTGAAGGGAAACAAGTATGTCCTTATCTATTCTCAAAATATCTTGTTCCTTGTATATAGATGCCATACATGTTCATATCTAACATGACTTAAGACTGTGCTTTATACCTTTACTTCATAACAAGGTGTCCATTTCTTCCATCCTCTATATACTTAGTCAGGTTGACGAGGCTCTTAATTGCCACTAACCGGAGGGCCTCTTTCAGGTCAAAGTTTGAGGAGTGTGATCTGGCTAGCGGTTCTAGTTCATTGATTAAAGGAAAGGCCTCCCGAGCACAACGAACGGGTTCACTTATGGTGCTTGATTCATCTCCTAGCATTCATCCTTCACCTGGAGCTCCTGAAGATTGGGAACCACCTCCAAAGCCAAATAAAATTATGGCAGCTGGCATCACAAATGATAAAAAGCATACTGTGTCTCCCGGTGCAACTTCACAACCAATGGCACAGTGGGTCGGGCAGAGACCCCATAAAAAATCACGCCTTCGAAGGGCAAACCTAGTCTCTCCTGTTGTGAATCCTGCTGACAAGACGCAGAACCTAGTTCAAGGCTTTGTGACACCAGAGCCCAATCGTAGAATTACTGCAACTGGAAACAGTGGATCTTTGATTGGGCGCATATCAGTTAATGGCAACATAAAGATCAAGAAGGAACCTGACATTTCATCGCCATTTGGTGTGCCTGACAGTGAAGAATCAGAAGCTTGGGAAAACGGACTGAAAGAAAAAGGAATGGATGGTGGTGAAGTTTCTGCATCTCATAGTGCTGGGGCTAATGTTTTGCCTGTGAAGAAGGGTAAAGTCCTTTATGATGGAGGATTGAGAAAACAAGGGAGGAGTGGAAGAGGTTTATCTTTGACAAAGTCAAGCGTTCCAACACGGGAGAGGATGGAGGACTTAATAGCAACGAAACCACCTCAAAGTGTGAGGCTCAGTTCAGATAGAAACAAAAGGTCTTTGAATTTTTCGTTCAAAAAATTGGGCGTATTGCACTTGCATCATTTAGATTATATTCTCTGTTGAACGATTTTTGCTCTCTATTGTTGATCCAGTAAGTCAGGCCGACCTTCTTCGAAGAAATTGAAAGATAAGAAGGCTGTGGCTCGGGTTGGGTTGGTGCTAAATGCCGGCTCTTCCGATATTTCCGGTACAGTAGAAGCCCAAACCTTTTGTTTAGTATTCTTACATTTCAGCTTCTCTCACTGGGGTATTATTGGCTAGAATAGCTCTATGTTCTCTGACATTTGAGAATATTGATGATGATATGATGCGACAGAGTAGACATAATGGGGCACATGGGCCTAATGTTTGTGATCCCATATTTTCCTGTTGGCACATATATTGTAGTACTTTTACTTGGTTCTCTGTGGATGGGAGAAGCTTATTTGTATAAAAATATGGCGTATTTCCAAGAGTTTGATTTCTTGGGTAAATAATATAAGTAACATCTTCATTCAGTGAATCTGATTTTTTAATGCTGCAGTATCTTGCTATTGATGTAACATCTAACTTTTTCACTCAACGTTTGTCATGCACTTGGTTTCTCTATGATTTAAGCTTCAATAAATTAGATTGTCGAGACCTTTGGAACCTTACCATAAGCAAAGTGAATAAAAGGTTGCCAAACTTATGTTTTGGCCATGAGGAAGTTGCCAAACTTTGATATTCCACTACTTTGATGTCCTTTTGCAGGTGAAATGGATGATGATTTTGAAACTTTACTTGCTGCTGTGAATTCTGCTCGAAATGCTTTCAGTATGCACTTTGACTCAGATCCTCTTGTTAAATTTATTTTTTTCCCCTATGTTGGCTCTCTTTTTGCCCTTGGGAAAACTTGACCATAGAAATCCCTTATTGTTTGTACAGATATCGCATTTGTTAGTGCACTTTGGAAGAAAATGAAACATGTTTTTGCTTTTGTGAGTCCTGAAGACGAGTCCTACTTAAAGCAACAGGTAATAGTTATGATAGAAGATTAGTTTCTCGATATCCTGAACACGGGATACAGACAATTTCATTTTGCTCTTTTTACTTGGATCAGCTCAATCGCACTGAGGAGCTTCATGAGAGTTTGTCGTTCGTTATCAATCATGATGCTTTGGTAAGACAACTTGTTTCTGTGGCCATATTTTCTTTTTTGTATTTCTTTCATTCTATCAGCAACTTATGAAAAATATTGTTGCAAACTTGACGTACTTTTTCTATATAAAAATCTCAGAATAGATATTACATTCTACAAGAATTTATTGGTCCTTTTTTCAGGGCGCAGTCGTTCACAAAGAAGATTCTGATCGTCCTGGTGGACGAGAAGGGAACCATATGGATGAGGAAGCATCTCAGAATGCTATATTATCTGGCAGATTTGACATTGGGAGTTTGGACAAGGTTACTCCGTTGTATCAGAGAATACTTTCTGCTCTAATTGAGGATGAAAGCGAAGAACTCTACCATCACAACGAAGGCAAAAATTTGTCTCTACAGAGCGTGAGCGATGATTCTCATTGTGGTTCATGTAACCAGATAGACATAGAGTCCAGAGAAAAGGATAGGATGGAATCTGAAGTCGAGTCAGCTATGGATTTATGGAATCAGAAAGTTAACGTTTTGGACAGATTTTCTGCTGATAAAAGTGCTGCCTCTAGCACAGTTAGGAATTCAAGCATGTCGACTTCTGTTTACAGCAACGAGCATTCGTTTGGAGATGATGAATACTCCCATTCAGATGCAGCCATTGTCAGTGAAATTTGTTCAGATGATATGGGACAGCTGCCAAAGAAGGAATTTAATATCTCTGCCTTTCCTTACCATGATGGTCCATATCAATTGATGTCTCTCGATGACAGGCTTCTGCTTGAGCTAAGGAGTATTGACATACATCCAGAAATATTGGTAGGTTCCTTATTTAACAGAGAGGATCCACTGGACTCTTCCCCCATGTTATCCATACTCTGGAAATCCTCTTCTTACCCCTTATATGTGAACACTTCTCTTCTTGTCGTTTCAAACTTGGTTTACTTGATGCAGCCTGATCTAGCAGATGACGTGGAGGTGATTAATCAAGATATTGCAGAACTGAGGGAAGGGCTATACCAGCAGGTTGATATCTCCCTAGTCTTCTTGAATTTGTTGGACTGTAAAGTCAGGAATTGAAAGGAAGGTTTCTCTTTCTTGGGTGAAAATAATGAAGTCTGATTGATTAATGTTCAATCCTTTTCTTGCAAAATCCTGCCCCCATTGATCTTTGATTTTTGACTGAATCTTAGATTGTGAGAAAAAGGGCGAACTTGGAGAAAGTGGATAAAGCTATAATGTGTGGAGAAGATGTGGAAAGACGGTAATATTAATGCCTTTTTGGGTAATTGTCTGATATTTTTCTCTTGCTTCTTGTTTTGCTTAAATAGTTGGACTAAAAATGCAGGAAAGTTGAACTAGAAGAGATTGCTATGCAACGACTTGTTGAGATGGCCTACAGGAAAAGAATGGTAATTGTTTATATATTCGAAATTCATTATTTAGAATTGATGGATTATTCGTTTTTGAATTTTTTTGCCCACAAAATTCATATGTATTTTCCATCTGTAATAAAAAGGAACTCTGCTATACCTTCAAGTACCCACAGAAATGCATTATTGATTTTTTAAGCTGAAATAGCGGATCGGATAGATTAGACAGATATAGACTTATGTTTTCAATGCAGATCACTGTACTTTTTCATGCTGTTTTCTCATTATGGATTTTGGTACACCAGTATATGACGTCGAAACGCTGGTAGTTCCTATTACAATTATATTCTGGTTATCTAAGAAATAGCCCAAATGGTCTTGAAAAGAATCATTTTTCCTCCTACCCCCAGGAGGATGGGGTTCAACCCCTGAACCCCTTCCTCCATGGTTCTCCTCTTTATATGCTGGCCATTAAGCCAGCAGAGGTGATCCAGTTCATATCAAGTGATGAAGTCAGAGGGATGCGACTCCTAGACCTTACCTCATATTGGTACATTCTGGATATTTGACTTTGCATCTGACGTCGCCAATCTGTCCTTTAAGAATGAGCATTATTTTGTGCTGAATGCTTAAGCGACCAACCGAAGGATTAGGCTTCCTTATTCTTCATCTCATATCTTTCTTTTTTTTTGTTTAGTTCTAGTATCTGGGGTTGTGGGTTGGCTATCTGCTGTGAAGCTCTTATGTTTACTTTTGACGAGTTCTTCTCAAGTTTTTTATCATATCAGTTGTTCTACAAAGTAATAACAGAATTATTTGTTTGTGATTTATGGGGCTGTCATAGGTCAGTGTAAATTTTGGAACTTAGTGTTTATACTGGTTACCATATTGCAAAAAGTTTCAGTGTGATTTTTTTCTAAGTATTTAATGCTAATGCTGTATGTCCTAAAATTCAGTATATTTTGCACATGATTGAACATAAACACTGAATATCCAGTTTATGCATCTGTTTTTTCTGAGATTGTGCTTTGTTTAGTTCCCACAAATCTAATTTCTCTGTCATTTTTCTCATTCAATGAGCGAAAGGCAGAAGTAGGAAAGTTTGTCAATTTAGATGACAACAGTAGGCTAATGTTTTGAAATTGGGCATTCTCGTCAATGTGGTTTTAATGATCCAGAAGCCACCCTATGCTTTGTAGTACTAGAACGTGTCCCATACTTGCCATGACAGAACTTTATCTAGGTTCTAGCAGGAAGTTCAAAGATGTATGCCTTTCTCCACCCACTACCAGAGTTGGACAATTGTGGTGATAATTGATTTCCTACATGATGTTGCGAATTCCAAGCTTACTCCAGTGTGGCAAATGCCTTTTACTTAGGCTTGTTGATTGCATGGTGCTTTCCCTCAGTAGTCTTTACTGGCCGGATGGTTCGTCTTCTAAAACTGCGTAGGGGTACCCATGGTATTTGGCAATTTTTCCAGAATATACTCATCCAGTATCAGTACTATTTTGTACTTATTGATGGTAACTGGTTCTATATGAGATAAATAACTTATTGAGTCTTATGGTGGTCCTACCATATCGTCAAATACATGATATCTTGATAAATCAAATTGAAGACTAGTTTTTTGTATGTTACTTCGATGCAAAAGTAGCTGCAAATGTTATGTTGATGTGGATGAACTAGAGACAATTTAAGCACTTCGCTGGTTGGTAAAGAGTTCTTGTCATGTCAATTTCCTTTACAGGCTTGTCGGGGCACCAGTGCTTCAAAAGCTTCAGTCCGCAAGGTTTCAAAGCAGGTTGCATTGGCTTTTATCAAGCGCACACTTGCAAGATATCAAAAGTACGAAGATACGGGAATTAGTTGCTTTTGCGAGCCTGGACTGCAGGAAATCCTTTTCGCACCGCTGTCTAGCAGTAATGATGCAAAATCTGTTGAATGTGTCGGCTCAGGAACGGCAAGCAATACGTGCATCGATGTTCCGAATCCTCAAGCAGAAGCTAGGGGATCAGGTAAATTTTGATCATGGTAGCCTGTCATTACATGATTGACTTGGAATCAGTTATTAGTCTTGCCTTTTTCAGGTTTGATGCTTCTATTTGACTGTCACCTGATAAAACTCCCATCAGGATGAAAGTTCACGTGAACGAATTGGGGTAAACCAGTAATGAAATCTTTTAACCTTCTATATTTCCTGCCACAGGTGCCGTCTCCAGTACTTTTGAAAGGTATGATTCTCATGGGAAGAAGAAGGAAATGCTAATTGATGATGTCATGGGGTGTGCTTCCTCAAAAGTAACATCGATCAACAGCTCCATGCTTGGCGAAACAAGGGGTATGAGAGGTGAGAGGCAGAGGAATACGAATGTTTCTACTCTATCTGCAGGGGCTGGTGAACAATCACTCCAAAGCCCCAGGGTTGAATGCAAATCCAAAGCGAAACCGAAGCAGAAGGCCAGTGATCATCCGACTTCAAGAGTAAGGCCTGGGAACGGATTTCCAGCATCGGCAAATGCCTCTAGTCACGCGATTAACGGATCACTTGGTCAATCGAAGGCGGGTAATAATGCACGAGCAGGCTCGACTAATGACGTGGATGAGCCCATCGATTTGGCGAATCTCGGGCTCGGTGGGAATCAAGATCTCAGTTCGTTTTTGGACTTCGACATGGATGGGATGCAAGATCATGATTCTGTTGGTGTTGGTCTCGAAGTACCACCATGGGACGAGTTCGCATTCGATTTCTAAACCGGGATGCCGTGCAAGATTTTGACTTCATTATTCTGCAAATGCTAGTAGAGCTGGGGGTGTGACCTATACAGTGTTGTGTTCTTTCCATGATTGATTAAGGGTGCAGTCTGTAGAGTTAGGCCAAGAAATTTGAAAAGATCCTACATTTACCAGACTGTTGGGAAGCAAGCAGAGTCAGAATTGTCATTGTAATTCTTTGTTGTACACTAAATTCCCAGTAGCAAAGAATTTTGCCTATCCAAAGTTACAATCTCTCAAGGGGCAGCTCCTTTCAACCAGCATTGAAATGGTGGTGCTTATCAGAATATACATGAAATGTTGTCTTGGTCTCTTGGTCTCTCATACCTTCCTTGCTTATAAAGTAGTGACGGAAGCAGCATTAGCCTTTTGATAAAAGATTAAGAATTAGAATTGAGACCTAATCTAAAAGGACGTGTCCCATTAGTCTAAGAGAAAAAGTCGCCTTTGCTTCCTAATTCTCTCTTCTTGGTGTGGGGCGAGCGAAGGCACGCTGACAGTGATGGACAGTGCCAAATTAAATCAATTTTTTAATTAATTAATTTGATTTCAATTGTGATGATAAAACATTATTGAAATGCCAAAAAATTCTCAGTGAAACAAAATAAAGATAAAATAGGGCACCGTTTAATCTAAAGGAAGAAACCAGCAATTAGAACAAACGTAAGTACTCCAAAAACCTTGCGATTTTGTCATTTTCCCTACTAATGGTCACCACTAAATGATGCCATGTAAGAGCAATCTGCCGTCCATGATCGTCTTACGACTTAAACCGGCATTTGATTGAATTATTTCATGTCGCGTCTAAATCTTGAATCAACCACTTTGTCTTCGAGTCCGAGCATCGAGGAATGTTGATGCCTTTACTCAAATGATCTATGTTATATGATGCTCACGGATGGAAAATCCCTGCAAAAGATTGTTGTTCACATCACTCTCAATCTATGGAAACTGTTGATCGAATAAATAATTTCATATCAATCTGGAGACACATACTATTAAAATTGAGGGTCTCCAACTTTTTAATGCATGTCGGTAGAAGATCGTCGGTATATACATATATTATATGAATTAATCACGGAAAGAAACAGAAACTCTCGATCTGCCCCACCTCAATATCAAGAAATGTATAATTTCACAACCACTTCATTAATGAAAAGGATCAGAGAGAGGCAGGCAGCAAGCACTCGCACCCACCACCCAGATTTTCTCTCTGTCATCACCAAAAATCGTATGTGTTTTTTTCTGGTTCACGACGAAGGAAACCATATAATATTTGCATAAAGAGGACAGTGCTTGTCATTAGTTATTGGGATTTTGCTTCCTGCTCAGCTCGTCCTTTCTGCATATTCTAATGTCAAAATGAACGTCTTCCTTTTGCAGCCACTTCATACAAATGCAAGAAAGCCACATCTCTCCACTTCCCAAACCTCCATCTTCTCTCTCTCTCTCTCTCTCTCTCTCTCTCTCTCTCTCTCTCTCTCTCTCTCTCTCTCTCTCTCTAAATAGTGCAGTTGTATGTATGAAGTATGCAGTGTTCGCAGATGGGTATGAATGACATTGCTTATGTGGTGAGTTCGTGATATATCTATCCAAAGCTTGCCCCAGCTTTGGAGCCAAGTCAATGCTTACTCAATAGATAACTTCTTATTTTAAATGAAGATAAAGTTAAGCGAGAATATAACTATGCATACGTATATATACGTATATACATGTACTTGTTAAATAGACCAAGGTTTTGAAATTATTCATGAAATTGCATGGTTTCTCCTCGCATATTATTACTGTATAGCTTGTGCTGAGGGTAAAGAAGGATCACGTAAGAACATCATATACAATAAAGATACTCCGGTGACGATGATTTCGCAATTTCATATTGTTTCCTTTTTCTCTTTCTTTACAACCCAATTCACTAGAAGCTTCCCCCATGCACATACATTTGATTACATTCATTTACATGACAAGAACAGAGAAGACAGTGGACATATAAACACTAAAATTTCCTATCCTCCTAAAAGAGAAGCTCCAAGTAAGTTTGGTAGAACCGTCTTTGGGGGGGAGCGAGATCATCGTTCTCGATCTGAACGATCGGGTTCCTCTCTCTCTCTCGCTCACATCAAAAGTTGGAGAAGTGATTTTGTGTAGCCTGAACGATATGCAGATCTGATGTTGTTTGGTGTGAATTATCATAATTCATCATGCTCCTGATCAAACCCAAGTTGATTATGATAGTCAGATGCAAGAACAACTTAAGAGGACTAGATTAGTTTGCACAATTCATTTATCTTAATGGAAACAATCGGAATCTAATGTACTGATAATCTCACTCTCGAGGACGAGACGCCCATAGAGAACTCAACGCTCGAAGCCGTCCATAATATTCTCCGATCACCAAAAAACAGCGCGCGGCTTGTCGAACGGTCAGTATCCGGCGCAAGTGATGAAGGGTGTGTTGCCTCAAGTTATCAGCCTGCAATTCTTAGCTACACATAGTAAGAACACCTCCTCCACGGAATATAACAATGAGGTAACATAGATGATTAGTATCCGATAATATATATAATTCACCAAGAGCAAGTTGAAATAAAAAAATGAAATCTTAATTATGGTGCAATGGCACATGGGTTGTAAAGGCCAACAACAATTCAAGAGGGCTAGAAAAAGCTCATGAAATTGTCATTTTCTTCAAATTTTGGACCATTTTGCAATCATAGAGACATATAATCCTTTAAAATCTTGAATCCAATTTTAAGTGGATGGCTTATCATTTTCCTCCTTATTATTTTAACTTTGGCTTGATAGCTCTAGCTAGGGTTTTCCATTTAAACCGGCATCACTTTCAAGCAACCTTCTAGATGGCGACATACAGAGAGAGAGATATGGTAAAAGAATCAACACCAAACCCTAGTTATTCAACAAGCTAATGGACTTCTTTACACCACCAAGAAGATATTTCTTTTACCACACAAAAATCACGGGTAAAAAAGAAAAATCATGGTATAAATATTTCTGAAGATTAAAGTATAAAGAACTGAAAATTGTTTCAGCTTTGGCATGTACTCAGTGGGCATCACCAAAGCGCAACTCTCAGACGTTGACCAGATCTGATGGAGACCGCCAAGAAGATTTATATCTAATGAAAGTATTAATATGATAATCAAAGTTAGATCTTCATCTAACGACGAATCAGCACCAAAGATGATGGAGGGGTATGCACCACCCGATAGAATAAGCTTTTGTTTTTACACTGGGATTCTTGTATTTCATCTCAGAAAGTCAAACAAGAGGTTGAAATCAAGGTGACGTAAATCCAGCTTTAGATGCACGTTAAAATATTGCGGCGCTTGGCCTACTACTACTCTAAAAGTCCGACCATTTGTGCACCCAAAAATCAATCTACAAGTATTCTTGATCTTAAGCAGCCTTCACATAAGGAAGTTCTATTTTTATTTTCATTTATTTTTATTTTTTTTTGGTAATTTTGAGTTTAATCATGTTTTCCATGTGTTTCCAAACTCCTGTTTATGTTGTGAAAAAAAATATACAGTAGTTGTACCTTAGCTTATCCTAATTACTGCTCTACAACCTTCATAAAGTTTGCAAGGGAGAATAAATTTGCCCCGAGTTCTAAGAGAATTTTATCTTTTTTTGTGCAATTGACTATTTTACCTGTCGAACAAAGCCTTCGAGATTGGTTAACTTGCCCAAGGCGACCGCCATCTGTTGCATTCCATCGATGCTGGGCCCGCCAGCGATGGTGTCGACGAGTGACTGTTGGAGCTGCTCTAGCCCCTGGGACAGCGCCTCCTCCGCCTGCTGAGACGAATGTTGGAGGCTGCATATCCCCATGAATTGTTGTTCCGTCAACGGATCTAATTGTGTTATTAATATCTGAGAACACAGACCACACATAAAACATATAAACATCCGGAACCTCCTGTTATTAAGTAAAAGCAAGGAATTTATGTCTTGTTTTTCTTTTGTTTTGGAAGTGTCAATTTAACGTGGAGGACAAAAATCTGCGCAGATGATCATCTGATGCACCCTCTTAAGGCAAAAAGAGCCCGCTTGAGAACTGAGAAGTGGTTCAGGCTTTAGAATTTGGTGAGAGGATATTTTGGTCAATTAACTACTCTGGCTCAGATAAATGTCACTTCTTCTTTGCAGGAAAGAAAAAGAAGTGTCCTAGAATCTAGGTTTAGCAAGTCAAAGCTTTCATTATTCCTATGATTAAAGAAGATGCCTTGCCAAGAACTTTAAAGCTTGTTTAGAACCCAAGAAAAGGATCCTTTTCTGATCCTTTTCTTGGGGAACATTATTATCCTTTGAAAGTCATTAGTGTAAGGACAATGTGTCCTTTGGAGTGAGAATATACCGGAGGCGAAAGTCCCTGCCAACATCATTCTATGATACTACTATTCAGATAAGATTATTCACTGTCGGGGCATTTGCCGAAAGATGATTATGAATCAATTATTACTACGAACCTTGATTAGTTCTGATGGTCGGAAACCGCCCATCCAAAGGAAGCAGCGCTCGGCCGGGGTGGCCCACACCCCAGTTATAAGGTGGAAGACATCAGATTTAGCAGCCACTCCCCTGAGCCTGAAAATCTCGTCGTAATGTGAAATGTAGCCATCTACTATCACCCTGAGATCGCCGTCGGGTAAATGCGCTTGGAGGCCGGTTCTGAGCTCCAACATATGCCGGTGGTCATCCTCCAACCATCTTGCATATTCCATATCAAATATTGCGGCTCCTAGATTGCGTTGTATTCTTTCAATTATTGCGGTGATAAAACATAAAAAACTTATAAAGCTGAAGCAAGTAAACTGTGCAACATCATAGATTAATCAGTCACTGTGGCCAATTGTCATGCTTTTGCACTAGACTTTTCTAGGAGCACAGTTTCTACTTTTATAAAGCATTAAAAACTCATTACTTTTGGTGCAGAGAAAATCAATTTGCCAAATGGGGAAAAGTTGGTGGCAAATAGTCTATGTTATCATAGCATATATGAATTCTGATTTCTTTAATCAAAAAAAAAAATCGAAGAGATTCAGCAGTCCAACTAAATCTTGCAAGAGATGAATAAGCACAAAACCATTTTCTTTGCAGTCAAATGAAGAATAGTCAGAAAGGGAGTTTGGAAATCTTTTCAGGTGGTGTGTTAGACCAGGAAGCTCAATTGTTCGGAAAAATTGACATTCTTGATCAGTTCATAG